AGGGCTGCTGTCAGCTCACTGGGGAGTCAGAGAAAAGGGAGCCTTGGGGACAGGTTCGGGGGTGAGGCCGGGATGAGCTGCCGCTGCCCACTGCTCCCCTGGTTGCAAGTCCCCTGGGGTCCCTTAGAGTTTAGGAGATGTGCACCTGTAGGGGAAGAAGGGGGAGAAGGGAAAGGCAAGGGTGTGCCCCCCGACAGGGAGAGCATGCCTCAATTTAGGGTTTTTTGATGTTTTGTTTTTTTTCACGATGAGATTGAGGGCATGCATTTTGGGGTAGAAACCACAGAGGTGCTATACCTTCTCAGTGCCTGATATCAGGAGGAACATGATATGGATGTCTTGTTACTTTAACCTGAAGAACTTGGCTAAGTGAGGTCCACCAGGTTTCTCTACTGCACAGTTACTGTCTTTCCCTTGGTCATTAATGTGTCCTCTGAAGAGACACTTTGAGATGATGTAAGTATCCCATTTCTTATCATTCTTTTCCCCACTCACTTTAACATCTGTTGCTGGTTCCTTCCTGCCACAGTCGTTTTGGTGGTGTTTGCCTAATGGTGCTTTTCTAGTCCCATCACTCCTTCTACATTTATTGATTAGAATTCTACAGGAAGGAAGAGCTGGGTTCAAGGTTTTAAAACGGACTCTTCCTCCCCTGCCAAGACATCCCACCCATCACCGAAGGTGTGCCAGGCAGGGTGCTTGATATCTGTTTACTCAGGCAACCCTTACAGCAACCCCACAAGATAGGCCACCTCCTCCCATTCTATAGAGCAGTCCACTTTATCTGTCTGTATTTCAAACAGCTGGAAACTGATCTGTGTGTATAAATGGAAAAATAGACAGACTGGTGTTTTTTCTCTGGTCTACTGATTAACATACCTTTGAAAACAGTAACTTGCTTATCTGGCCTAAGTGGAAAGGGGGATCCATTGAATAGGTGGGGGGCATGCCGCATTGCAGTTCAGCTGCCGGAAGGGAAAGGATGGGGCAGAGCCTTGGGGTCCACTGGAATCTGGGATCTAAACACCACTAGGACCTTCTCTCTGCTTCTCATTTCCTCTCTTCTCCCCTCCCCTCCCCTTCCCCTTCCCCTCCCCTCCCCTCCTCTTCCCTTCTCCTCCCCTCCTCTTCCCTCCCCTCCCCCTCCTCTCCCCTCCCCTCCCCTTCTCCTCCCCTCCTCTTCCCTCCCCTTCCCTCCCCTCCCCTCCCTCCCCCTCCTCTCCCCACCCCTTCCCCTCCCCTTCCCCTCCCCTCCCCTCCTCTCTCTCTCTCTCTCTCTCTCTCTCTCTCTCTCTCTCTCTCTCTTTCTCTCTCATTATAGGTTGGCTTTCTCCATGTATCTGACCTATAGAAGCTGAGATTTACATTTCCAGAGAAAGAATAAAGCCAACATTCCCATGAAAGTTCTCTGATTGGTCAGGCACCCACAGCCAGACCAATCAACTGTGGCAGAACTTGGTGGCTTCCTGAGGAAGCATTTTGAAGAGGGTGGACAGAAGTCCCCAGAGGGAGTACGATGCTTCTGAGCAAGTGATCTCAGAGATGTCCTTGTATCTTTACTTCTGGTGACATCGGACCTACCTCGAACTCCTCGGCCATCTCTCTCTGTACATGTTGAAGAACGTGGTGGTGACATGCAGTGGATTTCAGAAGGCCAGCCTCCACCACTTACTGACCCTTTGACCGCGCCAGTTCACTTACCCTCCCGGAGCCTGAGTTTTCCGGGCTGTAAAATGGGGATAATCATCTACCCTGCGGGGCTGCTATAATCGTCCAACAAGGCCCTGATTGTGAGAGCGCTGGCATGTCGCAGGATCAGATTCCTTTTCATGCCGTTGGGGAGGGGCTGGAGAGGGGCCAGGGCCTTTGGGGAGTGTTGTTTCCTGACCTAAGTCCTAGTGACATGGGTCTGTGAGAAGTCGATGAGCTGCATACTCATAATACATGCACCTTTCAACACGTGTCTTATACTTTAATTTAAAATGTCATAAAGTCACCTGGCCTGCGTGAGTCAGTTAGTTGGAGTGTCGTCCCGTGTACCCAAAGGTTAGGGGTTCATTTCCTGGTCAGAGTGCATGCAGGAGGCAGCCGATCAATGTTTCTCTCCCTCCCGCTTTCTCTCTCTCTAAAATTAATTTTTGCCGAAACCGGTTTGGCTCAGTGGATAGAGCGTCAGCCTGCGGACTGAGAGGTCCCGGGTTCGATTCCGGTCAAGGGCATGTACCTGGGTTGTGGGCATATCCCCAGTAGGAGATGTGCAGGAGGCAGCTGATCGATGTTTCTCTCTCATCGATGTTTCTGACTCTCTATGTCTCTCTCTTCCTCTCTATAAAAAATCAATAAAATATATTAAAAAAATAAATAAATAAAATTAATTTTTAAAAAATGTCTGTGGGTGAGGATTTTTTAAAAAGTTTTATGAAGTCAAATTTAATTTTTTTAATTAAAAAATTTTTTCATAGTGATTAGACATTTATATAACTTACAAAGTGATCCCCTGGTGAGTCTTGCACCCACCTGATACTATACATAGTTATTACAACATTATGACTATACTAGAGGCCCAGTGCACAAAATTCATGCACTTGGGCAGGGGGGTCCCTCAGCACAACCTCACAGTCTGGGAGCCCTCGAGGGATGTCCGACTGATGGCTTAGGCCTGTGGTGACACCTGGCCTGGCCTCTCCCTGCAGGCCTAAGCCATCAGTCGGACATCCTTAGTGCTGCTGCAGAGGCGGGAGACGCTCCCAACACTGCCGCTGCACTCACCAGCCGTGAGCCCAGCTCTGACTGAGCGGTGCTCCCCCTGTGAGCACACTGACCACCAGGGGACAGCTCCTGCATTGAGTGTCTTCCCCCAAGTGGTCAGTGCACATCATATTGACCATTTGTTCTGCTGTTCAGTCAATTTGCATATTAGCCTTTTATTATATAGGATTATATATCCCTGGGCCCTATGCTGTATTTTACATCCCAGGACTATTTTATAACTGACATTGTGTCGCAGTCGCATTTTAAAAATAAGGAAGAGAGGAAAGGAGACAGAACACCTCCTGTCAGAGGACCTCAGAGTGGAGGGAGGCAGTCCCACTCGGGGACTTCCCGGCGGATGGGGCCCTGCACATTCACCATGATGACCGTTTCACCACATTAGAGAGGACTTTAGGTGAAATAAGGTGAACATGTCTTCTTTGCATAGCCATGAATTTATTGTGTTTTAGTACAGATATATAACTGCAGCCCTGATTTCATAGACACTGTGGGAGAGACAGGCTCCTAACCAAGAAGCTCAGGAGGCAGCAGAATTGCCGTCTCCTGGGCTGGCCGTCCCAGGACGGGCAGAGCCTGCTGCCTCTGAGGGCCCAGGCCCTGCCCTGGAGCCTCTAGGTGTTCATTGCCCTCCTCCTGACCAGCGCTGGGCCCCATGGAGAGGGACTCCCAGCCGGACCCCAGCCAGAGCGCTGCCCGGGTGGCCATCTCCTTTTGACATGTGGTCAGTGGTCATGCCAAGCTGGGCCTTCACGTCCCTGGCTCTGCCCACACTGTTGGCTCAACTTCCTCTCGAACTCACCTCCCACGTCTCCAGAAATGGCACCTGGCCAAGCCCGAGAGCAGGGGTGACACCCGGCCTGGCCTCTCCCGCACCCCCACATCCGTGGGTTCTAACCAGTGGCCACGCGCAGACAGTGCCCAGATCATGAGGAGGGTGTTTGGATGACAAATCTGGGTCCCACTGACCTCCACTGAGTGGACGTGAAAGTCGCACTGACCTGACCCCCCTTTCCGACCCGCCGGTCACCTGCCTTGTTCCTCGAAGCCGGTGCCTTCAGAGCAGCTTTATTTGCGGTCTCCCACATCACAGCCCTGAGAGGCAGGGTTTGGTGGATGAGTGAAAAATGGGGGTTCCCCAACTTCTGTGAGACCCAGAGACCCAGAGGGATATCCGTGACGGGGGGGACGGGCAGAGCGGCCCACACAGCAGCGGCAGGCCACCTTGTCGTGGCCCCTGTCACAGGTGGAGTCGGAGAACCTCAGGAAGATGGTGGGGCCACAGGGAACACCAATCTCCGAGGGCAGGTGCCTGGGCTGGAACCCCACAAGGTGGTCGCTGCACTGGCCTGGGGGGGCGGGGGGGAGGCTGTCAGCCGGCCAGTCTCGTTGGGTTAAGGAAGGAACCTGAGCTCTGAAATCAGAGAGGCCTGGGTTCCAACCTCAGCCCACTCTGGCTATAGCTGTGCCACTGGGCCAACGCTGAGCCTGTCTGTGGTTGTTTCCCCATCTGAGGGCGGGGGAATGACCGTAGCTGCATTCTGCCTGATGAATACAAGTTAGGCAGGTGAAAAAGTGAGAAAAGAACACGTCTGGCAGGCAAAATAGCACCTGCAAGGGCCTGAGCTAAGGAAGACAAAATGCTGGGGCTAGTGAGGGGGGAGTAGGGCAGAGAGAGGGGCCTGCGGAAGGGAGCAGAGGCCCACACACCAGCGCTGAGGCCTCGAGCCTTTTCTGGCCGCCAGTTAAAAAACAGTCCCGGGATGTAACGTACAGCATAGGGCAGTGATGGCGAACCTTTTGAGCTCGGCGTGTCAGCATTTTGAAAAACCTTAACTCTGGTGCCGTGTCACATAGAGAAATTTTTTGATATTTGCAACCATAGTAAAACAAAGACTTATATTTTTGATATTTATTTAAATGCCATTTAACAAAGAGAAATCAACCAAAAAATGAGTGTCATAGGTTCGCCATCACTGGCATAGGGTATAGAGCCATAATTAGAAATGTATTTTACACCATAACATTCTAGCACACACATACGTATCTTATAATTAAAACAAAAGTCTCGCCCTAGCCGGTTTGGCTCACTGGATAGAGCCTCGGCCTGCGGACTGAAGAGTCCCAGGATCGATTCCGGTCAAGGGCATGCACCTTGGTTGCAGGCGCATCCCCAGTAGGGAGTGTGCCGGAGGCAGCTGATCGATGCTTCTCTCTCATCGATGTTTCTCTCTATCCCTCTCCCTTCCTCTCTGTAAAAAATCAATAAAATATATTTTTTTAAAAAAGTCTCAACTCGCCATAAAAAACTCTAGTCCATAGTACATGTGATGCACCTAATTTTTCAATTTTATTTCGTTGTTTCTAAAGCGACAGCTCCAGTCCACTAAACTGGTTTCTAATGAGCTGTGAGCTGCGGTGGGAAAACACCCACCTAGACGGCAGGCAGCAGTGTGAGCAGGCGCCACGGTGCACACACACAGCACTGCAGTCTCGGCTGTCCTTTCGCACATGATCACCGTCCCGGTGTGTGGAGAGCCAGGCGGCACCTCCTCCTGCCCGTGTCCCCCCCGTGCAGGCAGAGCGGACGCCCAGGCACGTTTGTTCCTGAGAAGCAGAGCTGAGGCCTGGGAGAGACGGGCCACCACATTTGCAGGTGCGAGGAGCCTGAGGGGGACCCGCTGACCACCATCCCGCTTACAGCCCTTCACCCCAGCCAACTGGAATGGGGACAAGACTGGGTTTAAGGAGGGGCTGAGAGCGGGGAGCGGGCGGAGCCGGCGGGGGACCGAGGCCGCTGCGGGAGACTCCACGGGCTGTCCGGCGGGGAGGACTCGGGGCTGCAAGGACGGGGCGGCGGAAGCCGAAGGCCGATGTCTGGGCAGGGCGTGCGAATGGCCCGCGGCGCCTCGGACAGCGGTCCGCCGGAGCAGTCCACGCCCGCGCTCGCGAGGCCTTCTAGGATGGCGGGCCCCGCGCGGAGAGGGCCATGCGTGGGGAGCCCACCGCGTGGAGCCCGTGGGTGGGCGGGGCGGAGAGTGTCCCGTGGGGGACGGCAGTGCCCAACGTGGAGTCTCCGGTGTGCCCCGCGGAGGCCCGATGTGCGCGCCGGAGGCCTGCGCAGAGCCGCGCGCGGGTGGCAGCTCCCCCTGGTTGGCGTGGACCAGGCCCTTCTTGGCCTCTCCTCATATTGTATCTTAAAGGCAGGAATTCGGCGTTAGGTATTAAAGTTTTCACTCCACTGAGGTCTGGAAATACTGTCCTCCTAAGGCAGTGGGCGCTTTCTAAAGGAAAACCATGAAGGGTGGGGCCAGGATATGGTCCAGTCCATCCCACAAACACCTTTTCCATTGACCCTGGTCCTAGTCAGAAATGGCCGTGAAAAAACAAAACAGGCGTGTTGATGGGAGTAACGCCAGTGCGTAATGTAAAGAAAAAATGGGCAGACTTCAGACCCAGGGCTAAAGCTTTAGAGGGTGGTTTTTCTTTCTACCTTCGCTTTGTTTGTTTCCATGAGGTAGCTTTGGCTGGACCACTGTGGAAATGTTTGATAACCATCAGGCGGCCCTGGGTTAGAGTGTAGACTGTTGCAACAGAGGACACAGATTTTCTCGATGCCAGCGAGATGGGAGAAGACATTTGAGGTAGCACCATGGAGTGACCTTTACCTGCAGACCAAATATAATTTTAATTTTCTGTATCTGGTATTTTCTTTAATTAAATCTTTATTGTTCAGATTAAAAAAAAAAAAAAAAGGAGGGGCTGAGTGGCCACCTGTAGGAGGGGAGGCGGTGCCTACCCAGGACTATCCCGGGGACTTGAAGAGCAAGTGTACACAGAGCCCTTGGCTCAGCAGCCACTCCAGGAAGAGCAGCCAGCGCTGGGAGTGCTCAGCGTGTGCCTGGCACTCTCTATCTAACCACTGACGTCTACCAGCGCGTTTAATCTTATCAGGACCTTAGCGGGTGAACATGCATTGGCCCTAGTTTGCGGCTGAGGAGCTAGAGGCTCAGAGATGCTGACTTCTCCAAGGTTAAAGCTCGGAAGTTGTAGAACAAAGATCCCAAATCAGGCGGACTCCACCAGTAGGTCCTGCATCGCAGAAGGCGCTGGATAGAGGTGGTTCCCGGTATGATTTTTGTGGAAGAGGTTAATAAAACGATCATCCTTAAGGTCTTTGCAAATCTGATGTTCCAGAACCCTAAGGGCTGCAAATGGGCTCCCCTCCCACCCGGCCTGCTGTCCCCCATGCCCAGGCAGAAAGGGGAGGGGAGAGAGATGGGGAGAATTACAGGGAAGGGGGCAGCTAGCAGGGCAGTTGGTGCCATTGATGGTGAAGATGATGGTGGGAGGGATGTGACCACTGCTACAGCTGGTGACAGACCGGAGAAATGATAAGGGACATGGAGACAGGTGGTCAGAATCCGCTCCCTTCAGGGCTCCTGGGATGGAGGTGGCTGATCCCAGGCCCAGCAATCCATCCTGCACCCCAATCCTTCTACTTGATCCCTCAACCTCCCCCCTTCTTCCCTGCAGATATATCCCCACCCCAGATGAATGCCCCAGGGAAGGCGCCGCTATGAGTCCAAGCACAGGGCAGAAATGTGAGAAAGGGCTGTTGCTAGGGAGCCTTTGCAGGAGAGAGGCAGGGAGGGGCCAGGGAGGGGCAGGGAGAGCCCTCACACCGGCATTAGGGGGCTGGCAGGAATGACATGCAAACCCTCAGGGGCCAGGACTTGGAAGGAGCCACTCATTGACAGTGGGTTGGGGAGCCTGCCTTTCCGCGGCTGTTCCCTGGGACCCCAGCGAGCTGTCAGCTCACCACAGATCTGCTAGGGGACAGTGAGGAGGCAGATTCGCGTGTCCACCACAGCCAGGCAGCCCTGGGTCAGTGGCCTGAGCAGGGAGTCATCAGAGGTCAGAGGTCCTGCCATGCCTTCCCCAGCCTTGTTAGCAGTCATCCTGGACATTTATTTAACTTACAAAGTGATCCCCTGGAGAGTCTTGCACCCACCTGACACATACATATTACTACAACATCATGACTGTACACCCTATGCTGCTCTTTACATCCGGGACTGTTTTATAACTGACAACGTGTTGCAGCCGCATTTTAAAAAGAAGGAAGGGAAGAAAGGAGACTGAGCACCTGCCTCCTCAGAGTGGCCTGACTCTAGCACAAGGCATTTGACTCCCCCGTCCTGGCTCCCTGTTCGCGGGCCTCCCTGTGATCCGCACAGCCTCCCTCAAGTTCTCCTCCGGAAACAGTGGCCCACTCGGGAACTTCCAGAAACTCCCTCCCGTTCTTGACCGGTCTCCCCTTTAAACCCCCAGGCCTGTCATAAGGGGCCGGGCCAGGGCTCCTGTGCCTCTGTCCTGAGAACCTGCGGGGCTGGGAGAGGGCAGCGGGCAGCGGGGGCAGCGGGGGCAGCGGGGGCTGAGCAGGTAGGACAGGCCATGGGGAGGGGGTTTGGACTGAGCTGGACTTGGCACAGCCCAGGTCTCCTTGGCCGGGGAGTGGGAGTGCTGGGGTTTGGGCTTGGGTGGCAGAAGGGTCCTATGTCCCAGGCTCGGGCACATCAAAGGCCAGGGAATCTAACCACCAGGCCGAGATAAGGAGCTGGAACCAGGCCTGTTCCCAAAGTCCCAAACCAAACACTGTAATGGATCGAGGAAGCGCCCGTCCGACCCCTTCACCTCCCCCCCCCCCCCCCCGCCGCCCTTGCTCCATGCCCACTAATTGGGCCCCAGATGGCCAGATGCCAGCCAATCTAGCTTGAGTTCTGGAAAGGTGGGCCTGAGTGGCAGTGCCTTCCAGGGCTTCCCCTCTGCTCACCTGGAGGAAGGGCGGGGCCAGAGACCCGGAACAGGGAGCCGGTGGGCAGCCACACCAGCTCTCCCCACATCCTGTGGTCTGAACAGCTTGGCTCCACATCCTGGCTACAGGGCAACCAAGGCCTGGAGCAGGAAGGGGGACCCCAATCCTCAGGGAGCCCTCACCATCCAGCAGCCACAGAAGAGAGGCGGGATCCAGAGGCCTTGGACATCCCAGACCAGCCCTGTTGCTCTCCTGGCTGCACATCCTCTTTCCCAGATACTGAGGGTGTCTGGACCGGTCTGGCTGAGTGTGGCCCACCTTCCGAGTCTGGGCACCCTCCCCCCACCCCACCCCCAAGTTCCCGAGGCTCCAGGGGGGATGTCTGAGGGTCTCGTCTTTGTCCCTTTGCAGGAGAAGGTGTCACCACTGCTCCTGCTGGCCCAGGGCTCCCATGGCTCGCCCTCCAGGGGCTCTCTGCCCACATGGACCATCCTCTCTGTGCTGACCTCCACCCGGCCTGCTCTGGACACCAACACCCCTCTCACCTGTGGCCTCGCCTCCTCAAGCCCCAGGCATGTGATGAAGGCTCAGCACTCAGATCACCCCTGGTCGTAGGCCTGGCAGAGAATGGACAGCAGGTTGCAGGCTCAGGTAGCAAGGTGGGGCCTCTGCAGGCCTAGCCTGGCCTGGTCCCCGGGAATGTGAGGGTGGTGGAGCCCGCAGCTCTGGGCGGCCAGGACCTGCTCCCCAGCCCCTGGCCCAGTTTCCCCAGGGCCTCCTGCTCAATTCTGCCCCTCTTTCCCCCACATTCCTTCCCCCCCCCCCACTTTAAAGGCACGTCTCCCAATATCATCATTGATATTTCTATCTCTCTCTCCCTCTCCCTTCCTCTCTGAAATCAATTAAAAAATATTAAAAAAACAAAAACAAGCCCTAACCGGTTTGGCTCGGTGGATAGAGCATTGGCCTGGGGACTGAAGTGTCCCAGGTTCCATTCCGGTCAAGGGCATGTACCTTGGTTGCGGGCACATCCCCAGTAGGGGGTGTGCAGGAGGCAGCTGATTGATGTTTCTCCCTCATTGATGTTTCTAACTCTCTATCCCTCTCTCTTCCTCTCTGTAAAAAAATCAGTAAAATATATTTTAAAAAAAACAAAACTCAAGTCAGATCCCCTCTGCACTGAACCCTCCAGTAGCTCCCGGTCCTCCCCCTGTGCCCTCTCCCCTCGCTCCCCCCTCTCCGACCGGACCATCTCCTTTGACCCTTTCACCTTTTCCCAAACCCTGCAGGGCCTTTGCGCTCGCCTTGCCCTTTGTCTGGGGCTTCCTTCCAGGCACTCAAACCTCTGCTCCAACGTCAGCTCCCCAGGGAGGTCTTCCCTGATGTGCCCATCCCTGCTGCTCATCACATTACCCCTCTGCGTTTTCTCCCAAATCGTCTCTTCCCTGAACTTAATTGCTCACTTAATTAATTTGCTGGTTAATCATCCAACCCTCTGTAGCGTGAACGTTCGTGAGGAAAAGGGCCTTGTCTGTCCTGCTTGCTTTTGTGTCCCCCGCACCCACCTCAGTGCTTGGCACAGAGCAAGTCCTCGCTAAATATTTCTTGAGTGAGTGGATGAGTACATGTCTGCACCTTGTCTGAGCCCCACAGCCTGCTGCTGTGATCTACGTGCAAGCACACAGCTCTGCTGTTCCACCTTCCCCAGTCACCCTACCCCCTGGCTCCTCTCCTCCCAACAGGTCCTTCCCCTTCCAACCCCATTCTCCAAGCTGATCGACAGGGCCCACACTCCCATTCCTTCCCCAAATCCTCCTCAGCCTTCACGGTCCATCTCCTTCAGCCAGTTTCCCCACATCACCCGCTGTTGCTATGACAACCATCACAGAGCCACGCTTGGGCTCTGGGCCAACCACCCACTGAGCACTTTATTGCATGTTCTTATTTCCCTTAATAGATGAGGAGGCAGGTTCAGAGAGGCTGAGTGATCTGCCCGAGGTCACACAGCGATCAAATGGTAGAGGCACGCGTTCCATAACCCTGTCCCGTGGGAGCCTCACTTCTCCAACGAGGCTGTGAGCTTTGGGAGCCAGGGCTTCGTCAGGACTCAGCCCACACCACCCAGGTTTGGAATCCTGGACCCGCTGTGTCTGACGCGTGCTTGGGAAATCAAGGCCGCTCTACGTGTATGGCTGTGCATCATCGCAGGCACTCACTGCATACACTGCTAGGTCCCTCAGGCCCTTTAGTTCCAGGAGGAAAGGAGCTCCATAAGGAAAGAGGCCAGAACCAGCCCCGGGCCAGTGAGGCAAGGAGCTTCAAATAACACCCAGGATTCTTCCCACCCCACTCAGCCTGCTGCCCCCTGCCCTCCACCCCCTCTCCCATCTCCTCTCAAGCCCTCCTCGCTCTCCCCAGCCCAGGCAGCACCCGATCGAGAGGAGTGGTCTCATTACACTTACATTCCTTTTCCCCAGAGAACCAGGGTCCCCAGTGTCCCATCTCCTCGCCCCCACGTCTTGTCTGGCCACACTCTTTCTGGTACCCTCTCACCCAGAGGGAAATGGGGTGAGACTAAAGAGGGACAAGTGGACGGAGGTGGCAGGGAGGGGCAGACCAGAGGGAGAAGAGATGGCTGTGGACTCCCTATCCATCAGCAGGCACCTGGTGGGGTGAAGGCTCCCCTATCCCTGCACTGCTCATGAACTCGGTCATTATATTAACAGTCCCTTTGGAATGAGCATAATGACAGCCTGCACCTGGAGCACGCGCCATGCTCTCGTGCTGACCTCGCCAGCCCCTCTCCCCGGGCATCCCTGGGGCCACAGGCAGGAATGGCCAACCCCGGAGCAACTGGGACCCCGAGAGAAGGGTCTACCTGGTGAGCAAGGCAAGAGGCAGGGAGGCTTCTACCAACTGCTGGTGGGCAGTGTAGCTCCCGGAAGAGCTAAGCTGAGGCCCCAGCAAACCCGCATTTCCCACCCCGCCCTCGGAGAGCCTCCTCCCAGACCCTTCTCCTCGCTGCTGCCAGCCCGGCTCCATTCTCCTCACCGTCACCGCCAGAGCTGGGGCCCACATGTCAGGACAGACCCAGACTAACAAGAAATGTCACCTGCACGAGTGGACAGTTCGGACTTTGATTTCAGGGCCGAGGACTGCAAGTGTTGGCCTGGAGAGACCAGGCCAGCTCTAAAGTCCCAAGAGCCAGAAGGGCCATTGCGTGGGATGCTGACTCAGGCGGCATGAGCAGAAGTGCGTCCACAACAGGAAGCTGCTGGGCCGGAGGCAGGTGAGGCTCACGACACGTCGTCGAAGGAGAGCACAGAGGGTGGACGGCTCCCTGGTTGTGAAGGAGAGAACCATGTGCAGGTGAAAACTTCTGCCCTTCACTGGGCACTGACGATGGGCCCGCGGCCATGGGTCCCACCGGCAGGCATTCGATCCTCACTCAGTCCCTGAGGAGGAGCTGCTACCATCCCCGTGTCGCAGATGAGGAAACTGAAGCGCAGCGAGGTCAAGTTGCTAGTGGGTGGTGGTGCCAGGTTGCAAAGTGCAGCCCTGGGCTGTGTGTAGGTCCGAGGGCAGAATTAGGACCCAGTGAGAGGCAGTGTAAGGACATCAGGTGACCCAGATGGAGAGAGGGCTCGTGAGGTAGTGAGCCTCCCGTCCCAGGAAACGTGTGAGGAGAACCCTAACAAACATCTCGGCATCCTTTTGAAAGGGATCCCTGCGTGGGACCTAGCTCGGCTGACCTGCGAGCTTCTATCCTGGACTCTGATTCTGTAGTTACAGAGCCCTGAGTGGCCCACACAGGCCCCTCACCCCTGCCCCACCCTGCCCCTCACCCCTGCCAGCCGTCCTCAAGCCTTTCCGGAGGACCAGGGGTCTTTCATGATAACCCCCTCCACCTGTGAGGAGGACTCCCCTTGAAGGTATTGGTCTGAGAGCAGCCCAGAGCTCAGGGAGGTCCTGGCCTGAGTGAGCCTCCTGTGAAGCTGAGATGCCGGCAGGAGAGGCCACAGGGGCAGGTGAGCGCACCCATCAACAGCATGAAAGGCATCAGGAGTGTGTGTGTGTGGGGGGGGGGGGGCGTGCAGGGGGAGGGCTAGGTGCTGGTTAGGCCCCAGGGTCATCAGCTTCCCCTGGTGCTGCCCAGGCAAGGCCCAGGCTGGGAATGGGCTCAGTGGGCGCCCTCTGGAATGTGGGAGTGTGGCCCTGCAGCTCCCTCCTGCCGTGGGCAGCACCCAACACGCCATCCCTGCAGCCCACCCGAGGGAACAGCCTCTCAGGCCCGGCTGGGAGCTGCGGCAGCCAGAGGCTCCGACTGGCATGCAGCCCCAGCTCCAGCCACTAATTAACTGCACGGCCCCAGGCGAGTCACTTCACCTCCTGGCCTGCTTCCTCCTCTGCACGGCGCTGATAACGATCCGGCCCAGGGAGCCCGAGATAAGTGGTGGAGCTGCCTGTGTTTATACCCTTTTAAAGTGCTATCATTACCCAGGGGTGGACTGGAAGGGGCCCTCCCGTCTAACCTGAAATGTCACTCCTGGACAGGATGCCGCCCCTCTCCTTTCCTGAGGGCAGCCGGGGAGCGGGGCGGCCTGTTTCTAAAGAGGAGAACTGAGCACTCAGCAAACAGCCACCGACGTGAGCGATGATCTTTGGACAAACGGATTCCATCTGCGCACCACGCCCTGACGTCAGCCGGGCAGGCTCCAACACAGCGGTCACCCTCCTGGGCACGGCTCCCACCGCCCCTTCCTACCAGGAAACCACCCACCCACCCACCGGCGGAAAATTCCTGCAGCAGCCTCATGGGTCAGAGGCAGGGGCCTGGGGAGGGGACAGGGAAGGTTGGCGGCCACCCCGGGCGGGGAGCAATTCCTGGGACATGTGTCCGGACACCCCTTCCTGCCCCACAAATATGTGCAATAAAGCAATTGATTTGCTCCCGGGGATCTTCAGGGGTCTGGGCAGGATCTGGCCACCCCAGAGAATGAGGCTCTTTCTTGCACTGCTCAGCACAGGAGCAGCAAGAAGCCTGAGGTCTGGGGAGCCAGGCGCTGGGACTTCCAGCTGTTTTCCCTCGGGAACAGCGTGCCCCGTCCGTCCCTCTGCTTTCCAAAGTGGCGTCGCGTTCATCATCTCACTGGCCACTTCTCACAACCAGCCCCATGCTTTCCAAGTGCCAAAGCCGAGGCCCCTATGAGGTAAGCAAATGCTCAAGACAGCAGAGGTAACAGCCGGGTCAGAACCAGAACCCAGCCTCTGGCTCCCCCGCGAGTGACCATGTCGGGAGCCTGAGCAAACTGAGTCCCTGGCACGGCCATACTGCCCCCCATCGTGGGCTCTCTTGTTTGGGGAGACCAGCACTCCCAGCTGTGGAGGCGGAGGAGCAGGGGTAGTGTGGGAGGACATGGAGGAAGCAGGGCTGAGCGCCTGGCTGAGTGCAGAGAGGACGGCATGCCCCTACGCACTGTGGGGACCAGGCAGCGAACCCAGCCTGCAGCGGTGACCCTCTGGTCCAGAGATCAAAAGGATGTAGAGGAGGGTTTGGTGCCAGCTCTGGGGGTGCAGCAGCTGCACCCTGGGCCCCTGCTGGGCCCCAGCTGAAGGGCCTCTTCACCTCTTGTGGTCAGTTCTCGTCAGTCATTTCACTGGACACCCAAGGTCAGGGAGGGGGTCTGGAAGCTGGTCAGCTCAATGCCCATCCCAAGGAAAAGGAGCTCTCAGAATTGAGGTCGGGCTGTGGTGTTGGGGGCAGGAGGAGGGGAGGGAATCGGTGGGCCATGCCTGTCTCCTTGGTGAGGACAATCTCTCTGTAGGACAGAGGGGCCACGGTGACCAGAGGTAAGAAGGCTTATCCCCAAGTCTTGCACAAGCCTCGCTCCCACTCCTCATCTGGGCCTAGTGGCTTATTAGACCCTGGGTTTCCTTTTCAGTGGTTCTCAACCTTCTGGCCCCCCTTCCTCATGTTGTGACCCAACCATAAAATTATTTTCGTTGCTACTTCATAACTGTAATGTTGCTACTGTTACGAATCATGATGTAAATATCTGATATGCAGGATGGTCTTAGGCGACCCCTGTGAAAGGGTCGTTCGACTGCCAAAGGAGTCGCGACCCACAGGTTGAGAACCGCTGCTTTAGATGACCCATCAGGGGCTTGGGATAGAAATGGAGTCTGGGAAGCAGGGAGGCCAGCGAGAGGAGGAAGAGGAGAGAGGCAGCCTCAGCCCGGAAGGAGCTCCTGCAGCAGCAGCCCTGGGCGGGGGGCATGTGCAGCCTGTGCAGACGCTGGGCTCCCAGGCGTGTTCACATGCAGGCTCTGCCAGGCCCACCCCTGTGGGAGGGTAGAGGCGTCCATTCCTGGGGAGCAGTTCCCTGGGAAAGTGACACTTTGCGAGCCAGATTACTTAGTTACATATTACACTGTGTTTTACCCTTTTGCTATTCCTGGGCTTTCAGTCAGGTCCTGTTTACAGGTTCCAGCCTGGCCGAGCCATGCTGGGGGCGCCGGGAGAGGACCCAGGGTCCACCTTCGGGCCCAGGTGTTAAAGGAGATGGGTATCTACTGTCCCCCACCTGGGAGCAGAAGGCAGAATCAGTGAGGGTTCCAGAAGGTGAATGTGGTAGAGCCCTCCCCTCCTCCACCAGCCACTGCCCACCTGAGGGCCAGGCTTTAACTCCCTGAGGCAGTTTTCCCTACAAACCCCCTTCCTGCCTCTGGGACCCCAGTGCCTGACTGTGACGGAGCACCCACCGCCGGCAACTCTAAGTTGTGGGAGAGGCTTCTTGAAAGAGAAAGGGAAATGATCAGAGACTTATCGCAGAAAGCAGGCCCCCCCGCCCCCCCGCCCCCAAACTGCCCAGCATGAAGCCCCGGCCTCTCTCAGGCCTCCTCTGCCCGCCCCAGAACCATCCCAGAAAAGACTCCCTCAGCATCTGACACCCTTCACCAAGCCAGAATTTAAAAATAATTATATTAATAATAAATATGTTAAATTACATTTGAAACAATAAATAGAAAAATAAACTGATAAATAAAACCAACAGGTACAAAATGTTTCAAAATTTCAACCAAAAAAATACACAGATGACAGACAAGACAAATGGACGTAAGGGAGGGCGCTAAATGCAGTCACAGGGCCCTTCACAGTTTCCATCGCGGCTCCCTCCTCACCTGGCCACCTCCTCTCCCCGCTGGGAGACCGGGCCACTCAGTGGCTGGTGTCTGTGGGGACTCTGGCCAGCGTAGGGAGGCATCTGGCCTCACCTCAGTGCCTTCTGCAGAGCACCCCTGAGCCCTGGTGTGTGGGTTCGGAGGACGGCGTGGGCGGAGCAGGAGGCCCCTACAGGGGCAGGTCAGTGCTGTTGTGCCGGGTTTTCCGGGCGGTGCCATCGTCCCGGGGCAGAGCCCTCTGCAGGTTGGACATGGCCGCGGTCTTTTTGAGGTCAATCACGGCGTAGGAGTCTGAGCTGCGGGCAGGGTGGGTGGTGGGCAGGGGGGTCTGGGGGGCCGTGGGGTTCTGGGGCCCCTTGGGGCGGTCTCCACCCCAGCCCTTCAGCTCCACCTGGATGTAGTTGAGCTGCCTCGGCGGCTCGGGGCCCGGCCGGCGGAAATCGAAGTTGAAGACGCGTGGGGAGCCCCGGCAGCGCGTCAGCGGCACGGGGAAGCTGCTGTGGCTGCGGAGGGCGGCACGGGTGCTGGCGGGCTTCTGCAGGGGCGTCTCGTCCTCCTCGCCGTCAGGGAAGCCATTGGAGGAGGGTGTGAGCCCGTCCCTGGAGTCCCCGTCATCCCCGGCCTCCTCCCCCGGGTGCTGGGCATGGCTCTCCCACACGGGGGGCAGGGAGGGCAGGTTCTCGTAGTGCAGCAGGGCAGCCCGGCGGTGGGCAAGGCCGTTCCAGCCTGGCTCCTCGGGGCTCAGTCTCCAGCTGGCCCCCGGCCTCAGCCCCCCGCTGACATTCTCGTAGGTGCACTTGGGCTGGGCCGGGCACTCGGAAGGGCCCTCGTTGTTGTTGTGGTGAGCGGCGTCACGAAGGCTGGGGCAGACGCCCTGGCACTTCATCATGTGCCGCCGCGCAGGCGTGGGACCCAACACGAACTTCACCTGGCCCGGCTGCCAGAACACCTGCGGGTCCCGCTGGTCAGGGCCCGCGGCCCGCGGGGGGAAGGGTGCCCGCCCCTCGGGCAGCGGCTGCAGGCAGTGCCGGCTCCGGCGGGGGTCATCCTCGCTGGCCGGCGTGTTGACGTAAGTGTGGGACTAGGGGAAAGAGTCCCATTGAGGCAGGAAGGTCCAAGGGCAGGGAGGAAGGAGAGCAGAAGGGACAGGAGGCTGAGAGACGAGTCGCACGGGGGAAAGAGCTAGAGTTTTCTCCTCTTCCTTGTCCTCCAAACCTTCCAGGGCAGCTGCCTCCCTTTCTGGGAACCGGAAGGGACCCTACAGATTTTCTTCCCGCCATGATTCTTACTGGGAGAAGGTGCCGTATTTCCTGACCTCTGTTCCCACCCAGACCAAGAGAGGGGGTGGGTCAGTTGCTTGCTCACCTGCTCATCAGGGGCAATGAGGGCGTGGGTGGACTCCTCTCCCAGTGAGGGGTGTCGAAGGCTGCTTGTGGAGGGGCGCCGGGGTGCCGAGAATCTGGGGCCCTCTCCTGGGCATCCAGGGAAGCCGTTGGAGAAGCTGGAGACACTGTAGCCTAGGGCTGGGCACAGAGAAGACAGGCCCAGGTGAAGGGTCCTGCAACCACCTGCAACCGCATGTGCAGCATCCTGGGACTCCTCCCCAGGCCCCCAAAGCAATCAGCCTCCTGCACCAGCGGCCCCCATTATCTCCCACCTGTTCTTCACATCCTCTCCCTCAAAGCGCAGCTTGAATGCTGTGACTTCCCTGATCGCATCCTTCCCTAAAACGCTTGTCATCATTGGCCTGTCCCTTTGCCTGGTTCCAGCTCTGCCGAAGAGCTCAAGGGAGGCTCCTTGAAAGCAGGATGGCTTCTGTTTTCCTGCCCCCTCCCGCCAGCCGTGACTGCAGCCCACAGAGCAGGTGCTCAGTGCGGACACAGGGAATGAACCAGCAGCTGTGAGAACCTCTCCAAACACTGGTCATGGGTAGACAAAGTATATGGGTGTGACCCAGCAGATGGAAGGAAGGAAGCAAAAAGGCTCCAGACTGCTGTTTCCATGGAAACCCAACGTCTGCACCCTGACCATCAGTCGAGAAGAGTTCCAGGACTCCCCAGGCTCAGCTGGGAGTCACCTGACCGGCCCAGGCCAGGCCTCACCCATCCCCGAGTGGTTCTGATGGTGGTCGGTTGCCGGTCCTGGAAGGCTGGCTCACCCAGGCATCCCCCACCTACCTGTCTGACTTGGGTCCACCACACTGGTGCTTCTCTGTGTACGTGTGTGTGCAAGCATGTGTGTGTACAGGTGTGTGTGCATGTGTGGTGGGGGGCCGAGGACGGGGTCTCCTCACCGTTGGGAGGCTGTGGGGCCCTCGGGAGGTCGAGCTCGGCCGGGTGGCTGTTGCGGGTGATGATGACTGGCTCTTCCATCACGTTGATGCTGTTGCACTGCATCAGATCCTGAAGGAGGTTGAAGATCTCCTCGGCCCGGGAGCACTTGAATGCAAATATCCCTGAAGCAGGAGAGGAAGACATGAGGTTCCCCTGGCCACAGAGGCTAAACCGAGGCACAAGGCTCAGGAAATGTCTCTAAGTTCCCCTCCCAGGCCTGCGGGGTGCGAGGAGCCCCGCACCAGCAGCACTCTCCCCGCACTCTCTAAAATGGGCGGAGCTGGGCTCAGTGCCTTCCCTTGCCTCCCACGAGCTATTACCATCCTGAGACCTGACACTTCAGCTATATTCCTCTGCGGTGAAGTCACTTTCCTAAGGGTGTGTGTGCACAGAGGTGAGGAGAAGAGAAGTAAAAATCAACTGAAAAGGGTTGTATCAGATCAGTGACCACTCCTCACATGCTGCCCCACCTCCCTCTGCCTACTACCCTGGCTCCCCAGAAACTGAGCTCCACCCAGGGTACCAGCCCTCAGCGCTATGACCAACAGCCCAAAGCTCTTTGAGGGTAGAGAGTCTGTCCTGTCACTGCTTCTTCACTGGGTACGTAGCCCAGATCCTGGCCAGAGAGCAAACGTCTACTGTGTATAGGCCCCTGACCTCATGGAACTTAAATTCTGGTGCAGAAAGGAAGGAAGGAGGGCTGACTAGCTAAAGGACAAACACAGCACAGCGATGGTGTGGCTCCTCCGAGCAGCCGTCTCATAGCCTCTCAGACTTGAATGCAGGAACTCAAAGTCCCGGGGTCAGCAGGAGGGGCTGAGCACCTGTGACTCAGGGGATCCGAAGTCGCCCTCGGGATGTGCCAGTCTGGGATTCTGCACTCCCGTGACAGTGGGACAGTGGGGCCCAGGGCTCAGGGGAGGCTACTTGGTGTGTGTGTGTGTGTCCACAACAAAGACAGATAAAGCTAAGCGGGGATATGGAACATCTGAGGTGTGCAGGAATGAGACAGAAAAGATGAAGAGAAAAAAGACTATACTGGCAAGCTATGTTGAAGGCTAAAAACGGCTGGGAAAGCCAAGTTTTGGGAAAGCCCTGTGTTGGGGCCTAGGGCAGCCCCTCTAGGATCCCAAGTATGGACTAAACACCACCTTCCTCCCCGCTCTCTGCTCAGTCAGTGTTACTGCCTCTGCCTCATGAGCTCCAAGGTCAGATGCCGGAGGGACGGCGGCTCCCCCAGCCAATACAACCTCGGAGACTCACTGTCCGTGGCAGCCTCGTCAGAGGAGCTCGATCGTTTCGCCTCTGCATAGTCACAACCCAAACTGCATCTAACGCGGTCCCAGAGCTGCTATCTGAACCCTAAAGAGAAGCCCCGCCCACACCGCTGCTTCAGGAGCCATGGAGAGCTCCAGCCTGGACCCCATGGACAACCCACCACACCCTGACCTCTGGCTACAGGGAGGAAGGGGAAGAAGGAAGAATACATCTCACTCCATGGCTCACAGGTGACGACTGATAACCGCGTCACCGGGACCCAAGAGACCTACCTGCCCAAATCGATCATTACCCAGCCACAGAGCCCTGAGGACGCAGAGGTTCCTGCCTGGCTTTTCATTATTCACAGGCCCAAGGGTACATGACCTGGGGGCTCAGAAGGAAGTTTCTTCTACTTAGGGACCCTGAAACTGGAGTCACAGAGGGAGGAGCCATCAGCTGCTTCCCCAGCAGGCTCTGGTCTCGGAGCACCAGCTCCTCCCACAAAGGGGTCCCCGCCAGAGCTAAGTGAAGGAGCACTGGCCTGGGAGTCCACTTAGTTCTGTATTAACATGCCAGTGCTCCCGGCCATGAGCCTTCCCCTCGCTGGGCAACGCCTGCCAAGTCTGAGCTGTGACTTCCAGGCCTAGCACCTGGCCCAGGTGCACAAGCCCTAGGTAGCATGGGGCAGGGGTGGGTACTCACCCTGGCCCGTCTGACACCGACGGCCACTCTCAAAGGAGAAGAGGTTGGAATCATAGCCATAGCGTCGCAGGCAAAGGTACGGCCAGCGGACAGCCTCCCGCCGATGCAGGTGCAGCACCAGCTCGCTCTGTGTCAGCTCCATCACCCCGGAGCCCAGCTCCACCCCCTCATCATCCACATTCGTCACCTGGGGAGCAGGAGACAGAGGGTCAATGAGTGAGTCCAACAAGAGTGGGTATGGGTCCCTGAGCCATTGGGAGACGGGCAGGCTGAGGATGCAGGGCCACAGCTGGGGACTGAGGGGCTCACCTGACTCACCACAGCCTCTCCGGAACGCCAGCCACATGATTACTCAGTGCCACTGACCCACAACAGTTCTCTAGGCCTCGGTTTGCCATTTGCACAGTGAGTGGAGGGGTGGTTCGTTAACCTCCATAGTCAAGACGGTTGGACGACCAAGGTTAGTCAGGTGGTCCATGGCTTAGTATCCAAGGACCCGATGTTAATGGAAGAAGGTGTTCGATTGTAAGTTCAAAATCTCCAGACCCCGGGAGAGAGAAGCCCAAGGCAGAACAAATACAGACTGCCTCCACCGCCCCCCCAACGCTAGGGCCTTGCTGAGGGCGCCCTCTTGTGGTGAGCAGGAGAAACCATGCCTCCACAGGAGGGGCTCCACCACCTGAAAGGTGGGGGGACAGGGGGCGCAGGTCCATTGGGCCTGGCCTTCTCAGCAACACTAACGTAGCGGCTGCCATGTGCCAAGCACCGTCTTAATACTTTACACATATTAACTCACCAGTGCAGGCTTTTGTTGTTTTGTCCAAAAGAGTTACGTGTAACGTTACGGAGATATGCTGAGAGGACCGAATGATCTAAAAGCACCACCTTTGCTCCTGTTTACGGCATTTCTTCCCTCTTGGTGGCGCCAAGAGCCAAACACACAACAGGGCCTGGCCTCCTTTTCCTCAGGCCACCTCAGAGGCCTGATCTCAGGAAGTCTTAACGAGCCCTCCCTCGCCTCAGCCTGTCCTTCCCCCTTCTCGAGGGAGGCCGAGACAACGCCACCGCTCAGGGCCAGAGACCAGCAGGCCCTGTTGGGCACTCAGGAGAGGAGGGGCTGTGGGTACCTTGAACTTGGTGGGGTGGTTGTCTGGGATGCTGTCTCTATTCAGGCAGCTGCAGCAGCTCCCCATGGTGTCAGAGCAGCCAGCCCGCCCTAAGGGAAGCATAAGGGATAAGAAAGTCAAGGTCAGCTCCCACAAGCCCTGCGCTCGGGAACTCGCAGAGCCATCTCACTGTGACCACTCCCTCTGCCCAAGGGGCTGTATGACACAGTCCCTCCCTCAAGAAAGCCCCACTCTCCACCCAGGACCAGACACACACTGGATAAACATTAACACGAGTTAGGGTGTGTTAAAGATTAATGCTCATGGGGGATGGAAAGTGCTTCTCCAACATGGCATTTGATCTAGACCTTGAGAAGTATATAGGATTTGGGCCGATGCAGTGACAGTGAAGGGAGGCCTGGGCAGCAAGAGAAACATGAAACAAGTAGAAACCCAGAAGTGATTTGCATCAGGAGTTGGGTTCTGGCCTTGAGCCTCATCTAAATTCCGCAAATTAATTTGGGAGTCCCAGACGCTTTGGCCTATACTTCTCTCCTTTCCCACCTCATTCTTCCCACATCATCCCAATTCTCCTTTCCTCCCTGACCACCATCCCAACCTCCACCTCAACTTTATCTTTTTCTTTTTGATGTTCTTTTCACTTGAGGTGCTATATTACGATCAAAAGATACACTCAGAGGCTTGAACATTTAAAACAGCACACTTTTCATAGACTTGATTAAAAAAATACATGCTGGATTTGCTTTTGGTCAAAAGGGAAACATAATCTTGGCTTTTCCCTCCAAGATAAGGCACTGGGATTGTATGTCACAATGGTAGGACTGTGCCTAAGATGGAGCGGATACCTACCACCAGGTTTGAGTGACCTAAGGGAGCAAGCAAACACATGGACTGATTCCCACCGGAAGTGAAGGGGTTGCAACTTGATTCAAAAAGTGAATCTGTAAGATTAGATATCCCACTGAATGTATAAAGCTTTGAACAAGCCTGACCTGCACCCTCCATCCCTCTCAATTTGGGAAACTCGAGGATAAAGTGGCTCCCATATATAGCTCTCACCTCACCTAGGCCATCGGGAAACTGACTCTGGGAGGGGCATGGGGAAGGACCCCCACTTTAGTCCCCCTGTTCTTGGTGGGGCGTCATGGCAAGCAGTCTGCAGAGAAGTCACCTGGATCCCTCTGGGACACACCCGGGGCTCACCTAGCATAAGAGACACAGACCACAGGTTAGTGGAAACATCCATCCTCACCAACTGTTAAAGAGATTGACTTGCTGTCGGTCCACCCCACCTGCATATCTGTTCCAGGCCCTAATGGGACCAAAACACCAACGGATAAAGCCAGATCCAAGGCAAAGGGACCACAAGTTCTGTGCGCCATAAGCTCTGGGAAGGGTGCTCTCCTAGTATCAATGGGTTTGAAGTCTGAGGCAGCCCACGACCTTTTCAGTGGCCGCCAGACTCCGGCTGAATGCTGTTACGACCAACACCAGAACCACCACCTTACCTTTGCAGAGAATTCACAAAGAGCTTTCTCAAAAAGACACTATGACGTACTGGAAAGAGCACTGGCTTAAGATTCAGGAAATGAATATTCTAGACTGTTTTGCTGCTACTAGGAGACGGCCAAGTCAGTCCCACCACCTCCACCCCCAACTCCCACCCCGAGGCGTCAGTTTTAAAGGGAAATGTTTGTACACTGTGGCGCTTGCGGAGTAAATAGCCTCTAGAGAAGTATGTAGGGCAAATATCACTACAATTTTCCTCTTTCACGACCATCTCACATTTGAAAGCTTGATAGATTTTTTTTTCTGTTCTCCAAGCTCTGAAAGGCCTAGAATGCTAATACACATGCTAACAATAACCCAAATTTCAGGGATCTGAGCCCCAAGTAGACAAGCTGACAGGGCAGGACCCCGGAGACTCGTGAAATCCCACCTTCCTTTCTGGAAAAACACGATCATTTCCCAGGGTCTCTTGTACTCGCATGCTTGGAAAACTTCCCAGGTGGAAAGACCCCCACCCTCTTGGTCTGGCTTTTTTTCTTTGGAAGGTGGTAGCAGGCTGAGGGAGGTGCGCACAGCCTACAGGCGGCGGCTGGGGAAAATACTGGGGCCTGAGCCATCCCAAGGAGTCTGGGGTGAAACCAAGAACTAAGTATAGGGTGCAAGATGGGGGCGGCTGCTGCACCTCTTCTGTCCCCTTCTCTGTAAGATACATCTGATGACAGCCTGATGAGGGGCATTACAGTGGATGGGACAGGAGAAGGGAGCTCTGGTCTGGGATAGGGTTGCATGCGGCACGGAGTTAGGAGGGGGCTATGAGGACTCAGAATACATCTGAGGGCTGGGGGAACGTGGGCAGTTTTATGGATGTGAACATGGTGCAAGGAGAACGGGGAGGGGTGTGATGGGTCCGAGGAATTCCAGGGCGGCGGAAGCATTGGGGGCATCCCGGGGAGAAGGTGGGCGTGCGGGAAATCCGCAGGACGAGGGGTTCCGAGGGCACCAGGACGGGCGAAGGCGTGTCGGGTGGGGGTGGGGTGGTTCTGAGGCGTGAGAAGCATTTAGGCTGCGGGGCTGTCAGGGGGATTTCTAGACTGGGGTCCCCAGCTGATTCCAGGAAGGAATGGGGGCGGTCGGGCCGCGCGCCGTCCCTGCACCCCCGCCCCCGGCCCTGGGCTCCGCCATCCGCCGGTCCGCCGCGGACGGGAGCGGAGACTGCACCGCGGTGCGGCCTCGCAGGAGCCGCCACGTCCCCGCCCCGCCCGCCCCGACTCACATCGCCCCGCGGCCCGGGCGGCGCCGGGCCCCGCTCCCGGGTGCCGCTGCAGCAGCCGCCGCCCGCCCGGAGCTAAGGTCTCCCTGCCCAGCCCCACCCCGCGGTCACGGGGTCGGAGGTCACCGGCGGCACCAACGAGACGCTGCGGGCGGGCGGACCCGCTCGGGGCGACCGGCGCGCAGCCTAGAAGGTCCCTTTGGAGGACTTTGCAGTCGGGAGCAGGGAGCATGCGCACGCGCCAGAGGGCGCTCCTGGCCAGCGGCTGAGCGCTCCTGGGGGCGGGGCCCGGGTGGGATGGGGCGGGGCCTGGCGCGGGGGCGGGGCTGAGGGGACGGAGGTGGGACCAGAGGCTCCACTACCCCGAGCAGAAAGGGACACGGGGTGGAGGGAGAAACACGAAAGATCGGGGAGGGGTCTGAAGGGATGGAAGAGAGAGGGGCAGTACCAGGGACTCTGGCAAGAGACTGAGAAAGGGGAAGGGGCGGAGGGACCACTGGGGAGAAGGGGGAGGACACGGAGATGGGTGGGCGGGGCTAGAAAACCAGAGGGAGGTTTGCGGGGACCTGCGTGCTTGATCAGGCGTTCTGTTCGGCGAGTGGCCGAGGACCCGCATAAACGAGGTTCCCCGATGTCTGCTCGGCGCCCGCAGGGGCACGATGCCGGCACTGAGCCCAGAGTAATGGGGGCGGGGGGAGTGGAGCCTGTACACTTTCCACCCCGGATCTCACAAAGGCTTTCTGAGCCCCGACTCCTCTACCAGCCTGGGAGGTTGTGGGGGAGGGAGGGCTGAGCTCCCGGGGGCTGGAGGTGGGCGCTGCGCCTTGGGGTGGGGACTCAGTGAGGGGAACCAGACGGCGGGGTACGACCAGAACGGCCCAGACACCGGCGCGCCGCGAGGGTGAGTCCCCAGCAGAGTCCCGCCTCTTCTCTAAGCTCCCAGCAGCCAGACTGGGAACCCCAGCTGACTGGGCACCACACTACGCTGCCTGCCTCCAAGGTGGGCCCCGCGAAGACCGAGAAAAAACTTTGGGGATCTATCCAGAGGGTATTTGGCGGGACTGGACACTTCTCTTCTCCCTCTCACTGTCCGGGAAACCAACCCATCCCTTTACCTCCCCAGATTATGTAGGGCCGTTCAGGCTTTGCCCTTTAGGGCAGGGGTGGGTTGGGAAGATGGAACTCCATGAGCCTGGTTACACCTGCGCGCAGGTGAGAGCTGGGGTTCAGCCTTGTCCCTTGTCTAGGGGAGCGGGGTGTGGATTTTGCAAGGAATCAGCATGTTAGAAAGGTGGAGTCCAGTGCTAAGCGGAGGTGGAGTTAGACTGCCCTTGAAGGATTGAAGGGTGAGGGGCGAGGGCTGACTTCTGAGCATTGTCTGTGTGTGACAATTCATGCAAACTAGAACTAACCTGGAAGAGAGTCCCCCTGGGGCCCCAGATGTACCCCCCTTTCCTGTGGGCCCCCTCCCCCAAGCACCTCTTGCTGCCTGGAGCAGGGGCACTGCTGTTAGGAAAAGTGGCTGCTGCTGGCCCTGCGTGTGAATGGCCCACCCTGCTGCCTTCCGCAGGAAACCTGACCTGAGGGGCAGACTGGGAAGGAAGCAGGTGGGTGTGGAGCCAGGACGCTGGGAAGGGTGGCACGGGACATCTGAAAGGGGGTGCAGAGGGGGCTGTGGGCTGGGAAGCAGTCTAACCCTGTTCCCACCTCCTCTTCTACAGGCCAGAGATTTGCTGCCGGCCCTCCTGTGCCCGCTGCCCGTCAGAATCCATCTCAGCTCTCAAAGGCAACCTCCTTCTAAAGCTCCCCTTCGTCCTAAAATGACCGTGGGCAAGATAATGAACCTCAGTTTGTTTCAGCCTTAAAATGGGATAATAGAAGCCACTTCAGGCAATTGTTGTGAGGATGGAGTAAAGGATGTAAAACGCTGACTAGCCCCTGGCATGGCTCTGCTTATTCTTTCCCCTGTGGCGTTGTGTGTACCTGCCGGGAGCTCTAGCCCCATTCTGCCGGCTTCATCTCTGTCTTACCCCCTAGACTTTGAGCTCTTCTGGGCAGGGCCCATCCCTTTTCTACTTCAGTCATCCCCTCCCGCCCCCAAGATCCTGTGGTCTTTCCAGGGCTTGCCCAGAGGAGGGCTGGAGAGAGGCACTTAGAATGGTCCAATGAAATTGCTGCTGTAGATGGGAGATAGAAACACAAGATTTGCCTGTGTCCTGGAGGAGCTCAGAGACTAGATGAGGAGCTGAGAGAGAGAGACAGGGGCAAAGAGAAACATGTGCTCCATCTTGAGACACTGGCTGTACTTCTGGAGCTCAGGGAAAGGGAACAGCGATGGGCTGGAGAGGCGGAGAAGGGCTTCCTGGCGCAGTGGTCCTTTCGCCTGGCTCCCGCCCACAGCTGGAGCAGGTAGGCCTGTGCAGGGAGTGGGGAGGAGGCCAGCCCACTGGCCTGGTAAGTACACAGTGAGGAATGGTGAGAGTTAAGGCCATGGAGGTGGGGAAGCAGGGACCAGGCTGCCCAAGGCTCACCAGAAAGGAGAAATGCCCTCTCCTCCCACTGTGGGCCTCCTCTTTCCTCCATCCCAATCTTTTTATTTTTTTATTGATTTCAGAGAGGAAGGAAGGAAGAGGGAAAGATCCATAATGAGAGAGAATCATGGATTGGCTGCCTCCTGCAAGTTCCCCACTGGGGATCGAGCCCACAACACGGGCATGTGCCCTTGACCGGAATCGAACCTGGGACCCTTCAGTTCGCAGGCCAATGCTCTATCCACTGAGCCAAACCGGCTAGGGCACCATCCCAATCTTAAAAGACCCCAGAGTTTGAGCTTCAGAAACTCTGGAGCCGAAAGGCCTGGCCTCAAGATCTGGCTCTGCCACTTACTAGCCGTGTGACCTTGGGCATACCATTTATGCTCACCCGGCCTCAGTTTGGCCATCTGTAAAAATGGAGAAAAAAATGCCACCTGACTCACATGGTTTTTGGATGAGATCATGTCTGTAGAGCACTTAGCTCTGCCTAGTAGCACATTGCAAGAACTGAATAAATGGGAGGTGTCCTTGTTATTTTCGGGGTAGACTTTGCCATCAGTGTCGGTGCTGAACCCTGGCTGGCCCCACCGAGGGGAGGGCCTCACCGCTGGGGATGCAGACCCACCAGTGAACTTCGACAGTGGCCCAGGCCACCTGCCGGAGGAGGACCTTGAGGAGACCTCTGCTCAGGTAGTGGGAGTCCTGCCCTGCCTTCTTCGACCAATATGCCTCCACCCTTTGCATCTCCTCCCATTTCCACCAGCTGGAAGGAGGTGGGGCTCAGGGAAAGGAGAGCAGGATTCCTCTTTGCAGGAATCCGTTTCTACAGCCACCACCCCGCCCCCCAGGACATGAGGGTTTGACTTTAAATGTATTCAGATGAATACACATTACCTCTCCAAGGGGGTCTGTGTTGTTAAAGCAGACCTGAGGGGTTTGGGCCCTGAGTGAAGGGGGTGATTTTAAGCATATGAAGGGAGCTGTTTTGAGGTGTGAGGCCTCCCCAACCTCCATCAATCAGACCACAAATGCAGGAGTGGGTCAGCTGTCCTGGTGTTCTTAAAGTTGATTGTCCAAAAGGGGTGTGTGTGTGTGTGTGCGCGCGCGTGTGTGTGCTTGTGTGTGTGTGCGCGCGCGCGCGCACGCGTGTGTCCCAGATTGGAGAAGAGGTGGCAATGAGAAGGGGAGGGAAGAGGGAAAACCTAGCTCCTCTCCTCATCTGCTGCTGTGTCTCCTCAGGATCCTGAAGTTCTGAGCCTGGGGCTCCTTGGCCTGGACACCAACTGAGCCCCCAACTGGCCTGGGCTCCAGATGCTCCTGCAGCAGCTCCCTCCTCAGGACAGCGATGTGGGTCTCCCTCTCCCCAGCGTCCCCCTTTTTACCTTCTGTGGAAGAACCCTGGTCCAGAAGTCAGGGAAAGTGGATTTAAGGCCTAGCTATGCCACTAATTGGGGGAATCATTCCCCCAACCTCAGCCCAAGTTTTCACATCTACGTAAGGGGTACAGTTACCTACATGATGGCCATTCTGCCGCCACAATGCTTAGTTGAAGAGCAAATGAGAAAATGGACATGAGCGACTTTTGAAACAAATAATGGAATGTACAAATGTAGGGAGTATGGTTAAGTATTTATTGAGGCTCTATGTGTGCCCAGTCTAAAGGCTTATAATCAGTTGGGTAGGCAAGACAGGAGAATATGGACTAAATAGGGCAAACACAATGGGAAGTGATATTGAGCTATATATATATATATATATATATATATATATATATATATATATATACAGTTCACTGGGAGCAAGGACCTAAATGTGTGGTGGCAGGGCTAAGTTCTTGGTGTCAGACCTGAGTGATGACTGTTCCTGGGGGAGGGGGGGAGTAAAACTGAGGTGGGTTTACTGGCACCCTTGTCCCTGTCCCTTTCCATCTCAATGCCCTTCTATGCTGTTACCACCTGCACCTCCCGGAGGTTCTACAACCTTCCTTTGACCCAGCAGCTAAGCCTTCTCCACTCAAACTTCCATCTTGCCTGCTGGGGCTCTCCTGGTCACCGTGGAACCTGTTTCTGCAGGAGCGATACTGCCTGGCCCCTGGGGAGGAGGAGCTGGCTGAGCTCCAGCTCTTCTGTGCCCAGCGGAGGCGTGAGGCCCTGGGACAGGGGGTGGCGTGCCTGATACCTCCCAAGCTCCAAGAATGCACCTGTGGAAAGGTATGTAGTATCCCCCCCCCCCCCCCGCCCCAATATTCCCCTTCCTCCACACTTTGCCCTCTCAATTCTGCAGGAGCTAGCTTCTGAGGCTCTGGTGAGAAAAGGGTTTGGGGATTGACAGTATGGTAAACTTCAAGAGAAACCAAGTTGGGGGCTCTTGGTGAGCATGCAGTGGAGGTGGGGTTGGGATGGAAGAGCCAGGAGGGTGGTGCTGCCTCTGACCAGCCAGCACTCCTGCCTGGCAGTGCAGGGAGCGCCTGAGGCCAAGGGAATACGGAGTGTTTGCGGCCAGGGCAGGAGAGCGGCCCTGCTGGCACCAGGCTTGCTTTGCTTGCCAGGCCTGTGGCCAGGCCCTGATGAACCGCATCTACTTCTACCACGATGGGCATCTCTACTGCGGCCGTCATGCTGAGCTGTTGAGGCCACACTGCCCTGCCTGTGACCAGGTACAGCTCTGAGGGGAGGTCTGTTCAGGGTCCAACTTGGCACGATGTAAGGGAGTGGAGTAGGGAGAAGAGGACAGCCTAGGACCTTTGTGTTTCCCTTGCTCCACTTGAGCTCTGGGCACGTGGGACCCTTTGCCTCCTCCCTCACTGCAGTGTCCCCCATATGTTCTGGGGTTGACAATTTCCCTGGAGCAGGGACTCTTGGACAGGCGTTCCCATCAGTATGCCGGTGCCCAGTGCTGTGCCTTGTCATGCGAGAAACTCCCGAGTTAGCAATGTTAGCGGAACCCTGGGTCGCACTCCGGGCTGTGCCACCTGCTAGCTGGGCATCCTGGCTAAGCCAATCAGCCCTCCCTGCGTCGGAGAGTGGTTGAGTAGATCAAATGAGAGTGCCCGTAGACGTGCTTTCGCGTTAACTGGCTATAAGGCGTGGTTACTGGATGAATGAATGAGTGAATGAATGAATGAGCCGGTCCCCTCTCCCTCTCCCAGCTGATCTTCTCCCCGCGCTGCACCGAGGCGGAGGGATGGCGCTGGCACGAGAACCGCTTCTGCTGCCAGGACTGCGCCGGGCCCTTGGGGGGTGGACGTTATGCTTGGCCGGGGGGCGGCCCCTGCTGCCCCACTTGCTTTGAGAGTCGCTACTCGGATGCCGGCTGGAGCCTGGCCGCGACCCTGGAAGGCAGGCCGCCCCGTGGTAAGGGAGGAAAGGTGCAGATCCAAGGGGAAGTGGGCAGAGCGAGGTCCCCCGGACTGGGGCCCTCGCCCCGGTCCCACGCCGTCCCGTCCCTCCAGCAGCGCCCCCGTCCTCCAACCGCACCCCCAAACCCGAGCTTCGGGGCCCGCAGCTCTCACCACGCATCCCTGGCCGGAGCGCTCCGAGGGCCTCCCGAGCCCATCCCGCGCCGCGGGTGAGGTTGCGGCGCGGGACTGGCTCCCGGACTGGGGATGCTGCCGCCCTCTGGTGGGCGGAGGCGGGGCGGGGCGGGAGGCGGGGCCTAGCCACGGGGTGGGAGGGGGGCGCCCCGCCCGGATCTGGGGGTGTGAGACGCAGGCCCCTGAGAGAGGCCTGTCTGACCCGGCGGAGCAGGGGAGGCGGGGCTCGGCAGAGCCGAAGGCGGGGACCGCGCTCCGCTACCCTCCGCGGCCGTCTCCGGAGCAGACTTCGTCGCGGCCGCCGGCTCCAGCCCAGAAACCCAGAGGCGGCTGCTGGGGTTCAGCCGGGAGCAGGAGAGCCCAGCTGGGGACAAGGCGGAGGCGCCCAGAGGACGGGGGCAGGGCCCTCTGGAGAGGTCCATTGGTCCCGAGGAGGACGTCCCCTGCCCCACCTGCTCCTCTTTCTCCGACTCAGACCCCGAAGGCTTTTTCTTAGGTCAGCGCCTTCCCCGGCCCTGAGCGGCCCCGAGACGCCTCCAGACTGGTGACAGTGGCACCTCCAGGAAGCGTTGCACCGTTTGCTAGGGGCGCGGCCCGGAGCCGGGGGAGTCGAGTTGAGGGGTGGTCTGTGAGGCGGGGGCCGAGACTCCTCTCCCCGTAAAAGTCCTTACTGAACGCAGCCAGGGACGCGCTGGGAGAGGCGGCGGGGTGGCCAGCTTGAGCACCTCCTCCTCAGCCCGCGCATTCTGTGACTCTTGATGGAGACTTTCTTGGGGAGCCCCATTCCCCAAAGCTGCGCAGCCCCTGCTGAGCTAGCCCCTCCCCGACCCCACAGGCCGGGGCATCTGGATCCCCAGCCTCCTGCGCCAATGAAGCGGTCACTCCGAGGCCACGTGTGACGCGACGGCTGGGCGAGCCGAAGGCCTGGAGGGAGCGGGGGTGGGACCGGACCGCCGGAGCGCAGGGCCGAGCCTGCTCCTCTCTCGCAGAGCACGTGGACGCTCAGCCCGGGGTCCCACCTCTCTCGCGGGTGTCGGACTCGCTCCAGCCGCGGCGCCCTCCGTTCCGCGGCAGCCGGCGGAAGTGCGATGCCGGAAGTTGCGTCATCCCCGTGCGCGGGCAGCGTCCGCGGTCAGGCCGTGCGGAGCGTGGAGCTGCTGCTATGGCTTCCAGCGGCGTCGGCGCGAGCGCTGGCGGCTCGGCAAGTGAAGCTCCCGAAATCCCAGACAACGTGGGAGATTGGCTGCGGGGCGTCTACCGCTTCGCCACCGACAGGAATGACTTCCGGAGGTAACGGAGCCGCAGCCCGGCCCCAGCCCTCCCTCCGCGCCCGAGCACAGAACCCGCCGCAGTGCCTGGGCCCGGGCTGGCCCTCCGGGGGCCTAGACCGCCCGCGTCCAGGTCTCTTCGTGACGGCCGTGGTCTGCCGAGGGCCTTGCTCGGCGAGTTCCGGTGCGGCGGCAAAAGCCTTGTTTTCAGTTACCCGGTTGTCTGGAGAGTGTGACCCTGACCGGGGGGAGGGGGGTGCGGGGGGCGTGGACCCGGGAAGAGGCGGCGCCAGCACCCAAACGGGCTGTTCGGCCCCAGATGAGTGCTTCATTGGTCTTTGCATCTGACCTCTTATTAGACAGACACTCAGTTAAATAACTGGGTGGGTCTTGGACAGGCCGCCGCGTCATGATGTGGCGATAGTGATCAACGCTCCCGCGGTCTAGAAGTGTTTGCCTCCGGGAGGTTTTTCCAGGTGCTGGCGGTGGGACCACAAGGTTAATAGAATAATTCTTTTTCCAGGAACTTGATCCTCAACTTGGGACTTTTCGCTGCAGGAGTTTGGCTGGCCAGGAATTTGAGTGACATTGACTTAATGGCACCTCAGCCAGGGGTGTAGCCAGATAGGTAAGCAGGTAACCACTGTCTGTGTGTCATGAGAGGCAGGGAGAAGCCATCGTTTTATCAACTATCCACAAAATGGAGGGGAGAGACTTGATGTAAAACCTTTGGCCGCTGCCTAGTTACGTGTGTTTCCATGTTAGAAGGAATTTGAGTACCCATTTCCCTGCAGTGCGTTTACATTTCTGCTTTCACTTGCCACCTCCTGTTCTGTTGTCTGATTGCAGACACATGGAACCCGAGATGTACTTGAACCTCCAAACACCGAGCTTCCAGTCTGTGACCATCACAAGACTTTCCCTGATAGCAGCTGAAGTTTGATTCACATGGCTACCTTCCCTTCCCTGCCTGCTTCCCTTCGCCGGGTCTACGCAGAATTCATTCTCTGGTCAGCAGTCAGGCTTCAGCTGAAGTGTTGTCCTCTGTTTTGTAAAGTTCTGTACATAATTCCTAAGTTTCGGTAGAGAGTGATCTCTGCTCTTTTCTTGAGGAATAACCTGATGGTATTTTAACAATTATCTGAAATAAAGACTGCACACAGACAGCCATTTTTTGTTTTTTTAATAAGAAACTTCAGCTTACAAAAACAAGGTGTAAAAAGTTGATCTACAAAAATCATAAAAACATGATTTATATTTCACACACGAGATAGGAACAAGCCCAAACACGGTTGTGGCTTGCTTCATATTAAAAGAAAAAAAGGAATGGAAACTGTAGCCACCACTCACTGATGTTAACATAGCTGAAGCTTACTGAGGAATTTCCATTTTTGAGCGTTACTAGGGGAAGAATCCTTTTGGTGTTGCATAGCATGTTAATGCTCCAGGTGGGTTTTCCAGGCACCAGGGAGGCATTGTTTCTGTAAGAGAATGGGATTTATTGGTGGAAAGGGCAGTGATCGGCAGGTGGAGGCTAGGTGTTAAGTAAGCCTGGGTGATGGGCACTGAAGTGAGCATCTGTCTCTTTGAGAAAACGGCTTCCTTCACAAGGAAATATGTGTTTTCTGACACTGAAACTCAGTCGTGTTGCCGCCCAGGAGCTTGGAGTCTTTGGAAATGGGATCTGTAATGAACTGGCCTGGAAGACTCATGTAGGAGAGATGTGGAGATAGTGACACGTTCCCCTTGACAACTTTTTCCTAGTTGATTTACTTTACTAGGGATTTAAAAAATACTGCTTTTCTGTGCCAAGTGTCTTAATGGAACTGGTATGGGATAAGGGAATGAATGGGAAAGGCGGGTCAGCGTAAATGTACCGCAGTGGTCTAATGGTTATGGTTGACAGATGTTGTCTCTAGCAACCTGTTCACTAAAGGTAAATAAGACCAAATAATTCCTCTTGACCCTGCTGGCATAAATCTCATTAAGAAAGCTGTTTGAGAATTAGATTTTTAATATATTTTCTTTTAAAAAGCACTATTCCCTTGTATTAACTAGTAGGTCCCATTTGTTAAAAGGAGGGAGTTTGAGCCAGTGAATTCAGGGCTGTGGCTGGCTTAACATGAAACCATGAACCTTTAATAGTCTACAGTGGGACCACAAAGGATTTGATAGATTTGTATCTTACCAGGTGTTAAGATGAGGAAGGGTCACATATATGAGAGCAAGGCTTAAGTTTGAAGCCGTCAACCCCAAAATGGTGACCAGGAAGGAAACTTTTATGCCACAGCATAGGTCTAAGCCCTTCCCACCTGTGTCAGGCCACTGCTAAGACCAGTATGAGCACCTCCTGTTCTTTATAACAGTGAAACTTACATCCTTGAAGTCTGCTACCAGATCTCATAATTGTGAACAGTTCTATTTCATAAATGTTTTCAAAGTTAAAAATCAAAACCCAGCCAGGCTGGTGTGGCTCAGTGGTTGAGCATTGGCCTATGAATCAGGAGGTCAGTTTGGTTCCTGGTCAGGGCACATGCCCAGTTTTTGAGCTTAATTCTCAGTAGGGGGGCATGTAGGAGGCAGCAGATCAATGCTTCTCTCTCATCATTGATGTTTCTATCTCTTCCCCCTCCCTCTCTCTGAAATCAATGTTTTTAAAAAATCAAAATCCAGTAAAATTAAGATATAGTAGCTTTCAAAAGCATTGAAATTTCACTCAATTTGATGTCTTCTATTGTATGTCAATTGAAAGTAAACTTATTTTTAAAAATGTTTTAGCTTCAAGTAATAGTGTTCACTGTTGGTTGGTTTGTAAAGCCATATGCTGATAAGGTAAAGTTTGATTTAAACTGGCTTAATTCCTCAAAGTGATAAGACTAGCAAATAAAGCTACCAAATTTACAATTTCAAAAATCGAGGTGAGTAATCATTCTATGAATGAAAGTGCTGCTTTCACCATTCCAACACAGCATTTTCCCCAAAGGAAATCAGGTTTACATCCTGTCAGTTTTCAGCCCTGGCTAATAACACAGTACAGTGGGGCCTTGACTTAGGAGTTTAATTCGTTAGAAGACCGAGCTCGTTAACTCAAATTACTCAATCAACTCAATGCAAAAAATCGGCTGAGAGACAGCTGGTATTGCAAAAAACTCGTTAGTCGGGACACTTGTAAGTCAAGGCCCCACTGTACTATGAAAATCTCTTACACTTCCTACTTAGATTTTAAATGGAAACTTGCCAGTAGAGTAAGTATGGAAAGAGTCTACAAAAATGACCATTTACCTCAATGCTGTAGTAGCTGTGTGGACTTAGGGCAGTGTGGATGGAATGAGTGCACAGTGGTTAGAGTCAGCCCTACACCAGGAGAACGGTTAACTTAAATGTGAAAGATACAAACTAAATCACAGTCATATTGGAAGGCGCTGCCGGCAGCAGTGCTGACTTGAGAGAATCCGAGCCACCGGGGAGATACACAGTTGCCTGGTAAAAAATTAAGTGGCCATGGGAGGTTTTACTCCAAAGATACAACCTCCTCACCTAATGAAGCCAGTAGTTAAGTGGAGAGACCCAATTATTAAATGTGCTTTGAGTGGTGAGCTTTTTAGACACCCTTTGGTGAAGTCTCATGAGCTCAGTGGAAACCTTAAGGGCAGCGTGAAAGGACACGCAGTAAACAGCACCAAGGTGAGCAGGCTGGGTCTCACCTTCCACAGCCACTCAGCACCATCCCAGCCGGCGCCTGCCGGGAAAGGGCTGTGGCAGGTTCTTTAAGCCTTCTCTTTTGCAAATCACACAGTGCACTGGCTTGCCTTACAACCTAAATCAAAGGTTCACATACAGGGGACTGTTCCACACTGCTTTCTGAAATTTTCTGCAAAAGAAATTTAGAATTAAGGTAGTATTTCAAGGGTCCCATTTTTGTTTGACTCCTACCATAAACTGCCCAGCATTAGAAAAACAAAAAGGCCTTTTCTGAACATTTGTGCTCTCCCAACCAGCTGGAAAAGCAGCCTTCCGCTCCTAAGATATAACCCAGATAGGGGAATAGTATATGGTTAAGAAGGGTGGCCCTCCCAGCCTGAGTGAAAAGGCTTGAGTTAATGTTTTGAACATAAAAGGGGGGTGGTGAAAAAGAATGGAATATACAGTCTGCCTTGGAAAGCAGACATTTCGTGAATAATCACAGAAATTTTGAACATTACAGTAAAACTTCAGATCTTGCTGGTAAGAACAATTTGCTTTCACACATGAGACATGAAACACTTTTAAAAAGTCTGATACCAAATGTCCTTTACACTATACAGACCAATATGTCACTTGACAAGAAGGATTCCTTTCCCTTAATCTTTTCAATCCCATGCAAACCATAATTGGGTACAAGGCACCAAATTTTATGAATTATATAAAATTAGTTCACAAAGCTTTATCAGTAAGAAAACAAACTCCATTTCTCCTTCCCTGCCTGCCCACCCACATCCCACCCTCCACACCCAACCAGTTTTCCTTCTGCACTACTGTCGGCCTCTCTCAGGCTTATGCTGGGGCCTCTAGGGCCATGCCCACTGCCAGCCAACTCACCCCATGAGTTCTTGCAATAGGACAGAACTGTAAGCCAGAGAAGGGAACTCAGATGCTCACTTACTAGAAGCCTTGTCATTAAAAACAAAAATAAACTCTGCTATTGAGTCCATAGGACACATTAACACTTCTACAGTTTCCAATTTTATTCATAACATTGAAAGAGACATCATCTGGAAATCTTTATGGTGTGGCACCACCCCCTTCAGTCTGAGGGGCTGGATCAAAGCTGGCAAGAGCTCTGCCCACCATTTAATAGAGCTTGTTTCTAGCTGTTGAGGGCATTCCTAATCTTTTTTACGCTAGTATGAATGCTCATCTCCGAGGCAACCACAAGTATGAAGGTCAAGCTAGACTGAGGTAAAAATCCTTTCTGAGGGCCAGGGTGCATCCATCTTGGCTGGCTACAACAGAAAGTAAACACACCAGCCAACTGCTAAGGGCTCTTGGAACAGGATGCTAACTACTTGTCTGGGAGAGAGCAGGTCCGCACGGTTCAGTTAAGAAAACTTGGGTTTGATTTGGCAGCATCTAGTCAACTTCTACCTGGTTCTTATTTTCTCCTCTTTTAGAATGTTTCAATTTAAAGATGCAACTAAGAAATTCATCTACTTCGAATATGTAAATAAATTAAAGGCAAAGGGACAGTTCCCTCACAACAGCCGTTGACTTCTGTAGCAGGGAACTCTTTAATAAAAATCTTCATAAATACTAACTTCTCAATAGCGTCTAGTGTTGCTGCCTCTGGTACCTGAGGAGTCTGCGACTGCAGGGGCACCTCCATGAATGTGCAGCTCAGTGAGGATTCTGATATGGGTGTCTATTCCAACTCACTTTGAACAATTTTGTTAATCTGATACAGGGGTGTTCAGCTAAGGTAAGCCCTTATTTTACAGTTTTAATCTGCTTAATATGCCTTATAATATTTGGTATAAAACTATTTCTAAAAATTAAATTTGAAGATCTTTTAATTTTCCATTAAATGTTCTTTTTTTTTTCTCTCAAATATTTCCCCCTGGACAGCCTGAGGGATGAAGTAGATGCTCTATTAGTTCTTCTCCATTTGTAAATTATCTTTTTCTAGAACAGTAAATATAGCATTCAATGAAAGATGAGGCACAATTTATATTTTCCTTTTCTTTTTACTCTCCCAGATTGTTTTTAGTTAATGGGCTTTTCTATTGCCACAAAAAGTCATACCAATCATTCCAACTTAAAAATGTGGATCTGGAGAGTATAGCTTCACATCAGAGCCTCTGGCAGCGTATGCAGCTGTGACACTTTAAAACAGTGTCAGGAGAAGGTGAGCCCAGGCCAAGCTTATACAAAGAAGCCTGCAGCAGACAATATAAACCAAACAGCATAAAAAAATGCCATACGCTATCGCTTCCAAATAAAAGCTAAATATTACAGAAACCTCACAGTGTTGGAAAAAGCAAGTGTAATTTAAAATATAGGAGCTCTCCCTTTCTTAGCAGGGTGAGCCATTTTCTTTCTGAATTTCCTCCATGTTTCAGTGCTGTCTGGCAGGTCCTAGGGGAAAGTTGATCTCAAAAGAGGTAAAAAGCAAATGCTCCAGATCTGCTCCAGAATGTGGCTCGTCGGTAGCGCTAACGCTACAACCCTTATTTGTTACCCTCTCTTTTTTCAGCTTCCCATCCCTCCCCAAACTCCCTTCCATATCTACTCCCTTCAAGTGACAACTCTACTTCTACCTGAATTGAAATGTTTATATGACATACTCAGTCAAAAGATGAGCATTCATATGACAAGCTGAGGCAGCCTACAGCAATCCCACAAGAGTTTCGGTTTGCCTTCACGTGTACTGGTGAGCCTTAAGTGAAGGATTAAGAAGGGAAGTTCAGTGGTGCCTGATGAAGAGGAAGGTCTCCATCTGGGCTATTTCATTCCACTTAGAAACCCCATGTAGAAAGGTCTCTTTTGCTAGCACTGGAGTAAAGGCCCCGGCACCTTTGCTTTCTCTGGTGGACTCTGTGGCTGGGTAAAGAAACAGTAAGGATGATCAGATTTGGGAGGAAACAAGCCAGAGCCACCAGCAGTATACTCTTCAGACATTTGGGGGACAGCTTCCTAAGCCCTTGGAAAGCAAAATTTCCCAAACTTTGTGGTGACAGTAATGTTCTAGCCCTCCAGGAGCAAGAAAGAAGCTGCGAGCTAAGAAAAGCTACATGCTGCACCAAGTGGGATCAGGTGACAGGCATTCAGATAAGCCCTGGACCACTGGCTATTAAACTAAACCCTAGACCAGTGGTTCTCAACCTGGGCTGCACATTAGAATCACCTGGGAATCTTTTTAAAATCCTGATTTCTGGGCCCCATCCTCCGGAAATTCTGTTTCTTTGTTATGGGGTGAGGCCACAACATGAGTAACAAACAGAATTCCCGGAGGATGAGGCCCAGAAATGAGGGTTTTAAAAAGACTCCCCGGTGACTCTAACGTGCAGCCCAGGTTGAGAACCACTGTCCTAGACCTTGACCTGAACCAGGGATTCACTAGCGGACTGAGTAGCCAGGAGTGTCCTTAGGCTACGCAGAACATGTCCCGAGCCAGTTTACTGCTTCCCTATATGAACCTCTCCTTTAGAATGAAGGGATGTTCATGCCAGTCTCAGAAGCCCCAGGGAAGGTATGACACGGGAAAAAACTCCCATTTTGCATGGGGAAATTTGCTCCGTGCATCTCATTCCACTCTTTAAGTCTGCAAGTTTTCAACCCCTGAAGATAACTTCCTTTGTAGGAACAATTCCTTAGACTTCACCTCAGAACCAATCCCATCAGGAAAGCTGCTAGCCCAGGGCCCCCCTCATGTGCTTTGTCCTGGACTGCTTACATCAGGAGGATTCTTCTGGTGCTGCAAGGAGGCCCTGATTAGCAGGGGAATCACATAATGGAAAGAAAACATGGCTGCTCTCCTGGCTGGATGTGCTCAGCTTACTCCCTTTTTGCTCTACCCAGATCCCTCTATATTCAGAAGTAACTGATGAAGCTTCATACAAGTTACTACTTTTGATTTGTTTTATCAAAGGAGGGACTTTCCAAATCCATTCAAAACAAAGTGACTACATATTTTATGATAGCATATGAGTCACCTGCTACCTCTGCTCTAGACCCAGTAAGGCAAACCCAGTAAACTGTTCCTGCAGTAAACCTCATTTCCTATCAGGAAAGATGTACCGACACCAATAGTTTAAAAGCAAGCCAGTCTGTGATCTGTGCCTCCCTTTCAGGGGAAGGTCCGTGGTCTGCCCTCGTGGTTGTTGCTGGGCTGCACCTGAGCTTGGAGGTGGGTTTCGGGGGTTTTTGCATGGCCCTGAACTGTTCTTTGAGTGTAAAAGAGGATGTAGGCTTGAGTTTTGCACACGTCCTCGACATTGCATACATTCAGCTTTGAGTCATTGCAGTGGACCCAAAAACCTAGGAAACCAAAGGAAAGAAAGAGTAAATGACTACCAACTTATATTTCCAATCAGCAGGCAAAACCAGGAGATGAAGAAAGGGACAGAGAAGTGTGAATAGAGCCAACCCTTGACTATTGGTGGTGGTGATGGTGGTGGTGGTGTGGAGTGCAGGGGAGACAAGTAAATGAAACCAGGAGACTTCCCTGTAACCACTAGCTTTAACCCCACCAAACCCCACAATACTGCTTACAATATCACCTGACTGGAATTTTTATCCTTATTTTAGTCAGACTTTTTCATTCCCCATTAGGGCCTTCCACAAAGACAGCCAAGAGACTGAGGGCGAAGAGAGGGGAAAAGGATGATGATGAAAGGGGATATGTAAATAGAGAGGCGTGATAAAGGAACATTTAGAAGGAATAAAAAGGTTTTTGTTCATAGGCTCACTCTGGCTGCCCCAAGGGCTGAGGGGTTCAAGATCAGTACACTGCTGAAAAGACCTCAGCAGCGCACCTGCCCCAGCACAATAGATGGGAGGCTCTGCCCTCGGGACAAGGACTGAAAACTTGGGAGGGGCCCTTGTATCCCCACACCTCCCATGGTAAGGGATGTAGTAAGGATATAGTGAATACGCAGAAAATGTCCTCAACTTGGTTATAAGCCGAGGCTAGTGAGATTCATGCAATACCTCCATGAGGCTAGATGGGTCATACAATTTCTGCATAACCAAAAAGGAAACAGGTCTGCAGCAGATTAATAATAATGATAACCTCTAACATTGAGCATAATGTGCTAGGCACCATGCTAATAAGAACTTTTATATGTGTCAGTTCTTGTTAATTTTCAGAATAATCTCATGTTATTATTTAGTGATTTATCAACAATTTGAATTAAACTTCCATAATTCTTCCAACTGGATTTACATGTATGTATTATCCTACTAGAGATGAAAAGGAAAGCAATGAAATGTGGACAGACCACCCTTTTCCGTGTCCCCCACCCTACAGAGTAAAGCGCACGCACCTCCCTCTGTGTTGTAGCAATAGGCTGTGTAGTGTCCTGAGCCAAACCCTTTCCCGTGATGCATGACCACTGCGGAGAGATCATAGGCAAAGGTCTCTTTGTCAAGAGAGGAGAGCATGTCCCTGCAGCAGTAAGGTTCCATGGTTAATACCTGGTCAAAGACGACATGGACCCCAATCTTCTCTCGGTGATTACGGCCAGACCACCTAGAACATAGATATAAACTTATCAGTAAAAGGTGGCATAAGTGATCATAGATAGAGGTAGGCAGAACTGAGAACTGAGAAAACTTAACCTTCAGCTTTGGTTTTCACATTAATAGAACGGTAGTAATTACTGTCCACATATACTTCTGGTGAATGTTCCATGAGGTACTCTGAAGCTACAGATCCCTGAAGAAGCAATTCAGGCAATAATCTTTTATAGTTTACTGCCTGCCCTTTTCACAGATTCTCTCATACTTTATTCTGAAGATGACTCTATATAAGCCAAAGTGAGGCTAGAAAACCTTCAAGCACAGACACCTGGTGCAGGTTAGCCAATTAAAAGGGGCCATGAGAGCAGCAGCCCAACATCTTGTCTCACTGGGCATGACTCATTTAATCTCCACGGAAAGCACAAGGTCCCCAAGGAGCCTGCGTCCCCTCCCAACAGCAAAGACATTTGCCCTCACCATTTGCCTTTGAAGCAGCCGTTCCTACAGTTCACAGCCACGTGGGACACCCGAGAGCAAGCTCACCTGAATCTTTTAAGGTGCAGCCGGAGGACCTGAGGTAGTCTGTAGATCATTAACTGCTTTCTAGCTTCACTCAGAACAAGGGGTTTTGGATTGGATTTTCGTCGTTTGCCTATATGGTTTGGGAAGGTATAAGACAGACTGTGAGGGATCTCATTCTCTCCTAGCTGTGGCAGACAATGACTTGCCACTCAATATGCATTCTTCTTATGTCTTAGTATTTGAACCTGAATTTTATTTGGGGCAGCTCTACGGCCCTCTGTAGGACTGCATTTCCCAGCCCCACATGTCTGCATGCTGTGCCCATGGGAGTTCTAGCCCAGATAAAAGGAATGATTGTGTGGTACTCTGGGGATGGCAGCTTAAAGAAGGCTGACTCAGTTGTAAGGTGCATCCTTTGTCCTTACCACTGTTTGCAACTGTTGTAATTGCCCTTGGACCATGAGGTAATTTTGAGGATGAAGATCTGAACTTAGGTAGTAAAGCTGAAAGATGGGAGGAGCTTGGATCGCCAACAACCATGCAAGCCCCGGAAGGTCTTTTGGACTTTATTATATAACAGAAGGAAAAAAATTACTTCTCATTTTAAGTTATTGTTATTTGATCTGACTTACCAGCAACTAAACCTAATCCTGATACTTTTACTTTCAAATGTTTGCCATCAGCAATTTCCAAAATTGGTATGGGTTTAGGATGGTACACTCCTGATATCATGGGCTTATTAATGGAATATAATACAAGATAACTGCAATAATATGCACAGAGGCACATGTTAGGGTTCTATGCCTTTACTAGTAAATATGTATTTATAACTTAAATTATGATGCACCATAATATAAACTTAAAGGCTTTTTGTTTTCATCAGAAAGGCCTAATTCTATTTCCTGTTCACAGCTAGTTGTATGCTATTGGACAAGTTATTCAAATTCTGAATCTCAGGTTGCTCTCCTGTAAAATGGGGAATGCTGCATGTATTTCAGGCTTAAAAAAAGGTAAGAGGATACAGTATTACTAAAGGACAAAGTATTTACACAGATTTTTCCCCTCCAGCATGATATGCTTGTGGCATATACAAATATTTAGAAAATAACCTTTTCTGGTTTAATATTTTTATGCTGTACCTAGTTTCTGAAACATGTTTCTTGGATAAAAGCACACTGTTGGACATGCTGGACAAATTCACCCAGTCCAAAGCAGAATCAGTGTTCAGACTTCAATTTTGTTTCTAAAGCCACTGAATTTTAGGATATGCATTTTTTAGTTACAGCAAATAAACAATGGAAATAAAGTTCTCTTATTGTCCTTTAGAAACCTTCTCTATAACTATTTACCGATGACTGCTCTGCTATTAATTAAATCGGTGAATGGATGGGAATGTAAAATTAGTAGTCCACTTGTGCTGCTTGCTGATTGTCTCTGAGCTGTGGATATCATGGTCTCAGTGTCTGAAGAGCTTGGGATCTGATTCCAAGTCCTCTCTAGACCACTCGTGAAAGGGAGCAAATCACAAGCAGATGCCGTATCATGGAGCTTTCTGTGACAGTAGAATGTGGAGCTGTTGCTTCTCTAATAGACTGCCGCAGAATGAATGTGCCATCGCATTTAGTAGGGCTGGCGGTCATGATATGTGGAGGCATGAACAGAAAGAGAATTCAGAGCAGGGCCTGGCCTTACTTTACATTCCCATTCACCAGCAGATTTTAAAAATTATTGCAGCTCTGTCTGGTAACCCCGCAGTGACTGCCACTGTCAGCAGAGGGAGTGTGTGAGCTAAGATGAAGACCATTTAGAATCTGGCTTTGTTTCCCTAAAATGAAATTCACAAAGAAAAAGAAATTACTGATTCAATTGAGATTGATCAGTTCTGTCTCCATTTGATTAAGCTGGCCACACAGAGAGGTAGAAAGCTGACATTTTGAAAATTCACAAGCAAAAGATCAATTCATTTCATCCCTTTACCATAGCTTTCCTTCCCTGCTATTATTTGAACTTGCCTAGAGAAATCCTGGTAAACTGGAACATCTGGAAACCAGAAAAACAACCCTTTCTTGCAAAAATAAAAGTATTTCTTGCCTTATCTATCATGTCTGAGAATGATGAAATTAAAGCTGTTAACATCCTTTTGCTGTTCCTTACAAGTAAAAGGCTTATGAATCAATATTAAAAAACAAAACTGATACTGCTCTAATAAGATCATTTAAGTAACTGCCTTTATATATAATGGGAAACAGGTCATGTGAGTCTACAGTTAACCAAGTACAGCATTTCAATTTTTATTTTAAAACAGCAAAATAACATCAAGTATTACTTTTGATTTTTGTCCTGATACTTCATAGAGAACAGGTTTCCCACATTTGCTATTTTAATAAAACCATATGCAAATAATATATTAAGGTTTTTGTTCACAAAACTTGTATTATATGGCTGCAAGTTGATTTCTACATCTCTGCACAATCCATTAATTTTAATTTCCAAATCCTTATATGCCAAAAAACCCAAACATGAGCTTCTAAACATCTGCTCTGCATTTCCTCTGTATATGCTGAGTTAACAGAGTATTGAGCTTTAGTGTGGCAAGACAGGAGGGGCCCTGCATAAGATGCCCACGTAACCACATGGAAAAGGTCCCACTTTTTTTCTTGTTGTTAATCCTCACCCGAGGATATTTTTCCATTGATTTTTAGGGAGTCAGCGAGGGAAAGACAGAAACATCGATGTGAGAGAAACACAATTGGTTGCCTCGTGCACAAGCCCTGAACAGGGCCTGGGCCGGAGAGGAGCCTGCAATCAAGGTACACGCCCTTGACTGGAATCGAACCTGGGATGCTTTGGTCCACAGGCCAACGCTCTATCCACTGAGCCAAACCGGCGAGGATGAGTTCCACTTTTAAATTAACGCCACAAGCCCTGGCTGGGTGGCTCCGTTGTTTGGAGCATGGTCCCATACACCAAAATAGTTGCAGGTTTGATCCTTGTCGGGAGTGTACAGGAGGCAATCAATCGATGTTTCTCACATCAATGGTTCTCTCTCTCTCTCTTTCTCTCTCCCTCCCCCCCTATCTATTTTTTGATCAATCAATAAAACATATTCTCGGGTGAAGATTTAAAAAAATTAAACATTTAAAATTAATGTCATGATAGAGAAATACTTCCTTTTGACGGCCTCCAAAATGCCAACCTTTCAAGCATGTGAAGAAACAAGTGCAGAATGTACTTCCAGAGAGCAATGCACCCTATGATTTGCTTCCTTGATCTTATTGTGCAGACCTGCACCACTACTCCTAACACTTTAAATCTACAAATTCAATACGAAAGTACACTTTTCTGATGCCACAGCCCTCCAACAGGCTATGCCACCTGAACTTAAATAAGATCTGTCAGATTCTACATTCATGAGTTTCATGAAGACCTCTGCAGTACTATGAAGTATTCACATTCTTAGAGTCCCTATTTCAGGATCCATATGTTCAAATGCCTCCCAAAATAACAGCTAATGTCAATCACAGCAGAAGTCAAAGGAGGCACCACTCCTAGGTTTGTTTAAAAATATTTTTATTTATTTTTAGAGAGAGAAGAAGGGAGAGAGAGAGAGAGAAACATCGATATGAGAGTGACACATCGATCAGCTGCCTTCTGCATACCCCCTACCAGGGATCGAGCCTGCAACCCAGGCATGTGCCCTGACTGGAAATCGAACTGGCAGCCTTTTGGTGCACAGGATCATGCCTAACCAATTGAGCCGTATCAGCCACAACGGTTTTGTTTTTTAATATATAATGTCCATATGCTTATTTTCAGTAAAACAGGAAGAAAAAAATCTTTAAAACATGCTTTAGAACCACTCAATATTATCAGTATTACTTTTGACTAAAAGGGGCAAAAAAAAGCACCTTAAACTGATATTCCAGTCGCACACCCCCACTCTCCCCTCCAGCCCCGGCACTCACTGTTACACTGGTCACAAGCGTAGACTCTCCCTTCCAGGGCCTCTGTCTCTGTGAACTTGGCCAGCATCTCAGTGAGCAGGCACTCTGTTTGATTCAAAGGGACAAGCCCCTTTTCTATGCAGTGATAGCGTTCAGGGAACTCCAGGGACAGATCCCAAAAGGGCTCAATGGTGTTGGATTTGTAATTGCATGATATACATGTGACCTAGAATGAAAAACATGACTTACAGGTTATATAACTCCATTCTTCCCACATATGTTTTTGCTTGTTTTATACAAGACACATAACTTGATCAAAACTAAGTATACAGTCTTAAAAAATATTTTATTTGTAATATTAAATAATAAATATAACTTTAAGAGAATTAGAGCATGCTACTTCTGTATATATTTCTAACTATGTAATGCTAGCTGGAACTGGAAAACCATCCGGCACAGAGGTTATTACCTACACCTTTCTCTCTTCTCACCCAAAGCATGCTCTGCCAGACTCAATGCTGTGGTACAGACAGCAAGTTATCAGGGAATCAGTCTGAGATGGAGAATTTGCAGATTCCTGTCTGCTTTTCTTATCCTCACACTCCTTCCTCTTCCAGACTTTGCTCCTTCCATGCAATCCTAACTTGCCTCTCTTTTTGCCTCTGGTTCTTGCAGCATCCCTACACTGATCCCTGTGTCCACAGAGCCTCAAAGTACCTTGTGATCCGACCTCCTCAGATGCACCTTTACAACCTTCCCAGATGTACCTTTGTCCTGATTCTTCATAGAGAACAATTTACTATTTTAAATTGTTTTCTACAATTTACTTTGACCCTCAATGGATAAAGTAAATGCCCATAAATACTCCCCTTTCAAATGCGAAAAGCTTAAATAAACTTTCTCTTCCCATCCTACACATCATTCTTTTAAAACCCTAAATGCCAAGACACAAACCTCAGTAGCATAGTATAGAGGTTTTACTTGAATCTCTTAAATTGCCCACCTTTTTAACTTTAAAAATTCTCTTTCTGCATAGTCTCACAATAAATATTCTCTTTTTGCATATTCCCACAATAAAAATTCTCTTTATGCATATTCTCACAAAGCCTTATCTATGAGTCACTGCTTCTGTCTGTACATGGCTGAAGACCCAGTAAATGAAAGGTGATGGGGAACAGGAGGGAGGCTTGTTTAGGCCTTTGGCATCCTCCTAGCCACTCCCCTTCCATGTGTGTAAAGAATATCAAGTTAGTAAGAATACATACCCTTTCAAAATATCATGGAACCAGGGTTACAGGCAAACTGTTCAGTTTCCTAAAACTGATCAAAGATGTCATGCCAACCATGGATACTTAATTATAAAGAGAATATTAGATTATCCATATCATCATTAAAGGGTAAAGACATTCATTAAAAATGAAGCGATATAACAAGTTACACTGAAAATCTGCCCAGAAAGAGACAGGAGGCAAGTTCACCAACAAGGCCATCACAGTGTATAGTACAATGAAAGGTACAATGGCCACCCTCCATTATGAATAATTATAGCCATTGTTGGTTACCCCATTAACCCAACAACCTGCAGGAGGCACTCACGAGAAGCCCAAATGCTAACATACAAGCTTCCCTCCAATGTGATGGGTAGAGTTGGGGTTAGGATGGACACACACCTACCTGACTGAGTAGCTGCCCGTGGAATATGGTGTTCACCACCTTTAAGACCTGTTTGGTGAGCTTCCTCTGGGAGAAGGGGATGAGGATCCGGCGCGTTGTGCCCTCCGACTCGAGTTCCTGCTGCACTTTGTGCAACAGCTCGCAGAGAAACTCCTGAGCGTCCTGCTGGTCGTAGCCGCGAAAGGCAGGGATCAGACTCCACACGGAGTGAAGCATGGCGAAGGGCGACACCAGGGCCCACTTCCCGGACCACATGACTCGGAAAAGGGTGTGCAGTTCATGGCAGAGGGAGATGTGCTTTGAGCCGGGCTCCTTGTTCTGGATGAGTTCGAGGCTCTTGGTGATGGAGGCGCCGCCATTCCAGAAGAGACCATCCCGCTCACAAGACTCAGCCCTGTGGCTCCTTGGCGACAGCTCGGTGGCTGAGCTGCTGGCCAGCTTGCCCGCGAGCGGGGCCTTCCCGTTGGCGGCTCTGTTAAAGAGCTGTTCCGTTTTGGAAGGGTCGAGGTTCAGGAAACACTCTCGGAACTTCTGGAGGTGGCTGAGCACCTGCAGGATGGAGTTCATGTAGCAGGTGTTGCCCAGGTTGCGCAGGCCAGTGACGCCCGGAGCCACCGCCGGCGCCCGGCGTGGGGGCCGCCTCCGGGCGGCGGGGCGCTGGGCAGCGGCGCGGGGCGTGTGCAGCAGCAGGCGTGCGCTCTTGCGCGGAGGGGCGCTGGCCAGCTCCTCCAGCAGCCGCCGCTTGACCTCGAGCCGCCGCTGCCTCGCCGCCTCCTTCTTGCGCTCCAGGGCCTCCTCCCGCCGCTGCTCCTCCAGTCTTGCCTGGCCGCGGGAGCTCTTCTCAAACCAGAGCCGCAGCGTCTTGGCCAGCAGGCGCTGGCGCCGGTACCACAGAGCCGTGAGCATCTGCGGCTGTCCCTGAGGAGTGCGTGGCGGCGGGGACGTGTCCTCGCCCGAGGCCATGGACCGCAGAGTCCGACCTCGCCTCCCCGGCAGGTCCTGCTTCTGGCCCCTGACCGCCAGGAGAGCGCTTCTCAGCAGCTTCAGGTCCCCCTCCGGGTTATCATTGAGCACGTAGTCCTTGCACAGGTAACAGAACACATAGAGATCCCGGACCTCCATGGCTAGTGGGTGTCCAGTCTCTTCGAAGTGTTTCAGGGCGTGGTCCTCAATGTAGCGACCGCAGGCCACGTGCGAGCACTTGAGACAAGCCCACACCGACTCCGTGGTGGTGCACTCCCTACAGCACCACTTCTGAGGGTTCAGGATGGAGTGGTCCTGGGCCAGCCGCAACCGCCCTACATGTTTGCATCTATCCATGTCTCACAGAAGGCTCCACTCTTTCAACCTGGCACAACAGGCCCCCCAAAAGAGAGAGAGAGAGAGAAATAAAAGCTTTCAGCAAAATATTTTCCTAGAAAAAGGCTTGCTACTGGCATTTTCAACTCAATGCTTATTAGGTTTCAATTCAAAATTGGTTCCTTTCGAAGTTTTTTAAAAAGTAAAGCAAATTTAGTATGGAATGAGAATTACAGAAAGACAGTTAAGTCCCCTAAAAACGAAGAATTATAAAATACAGGGGGAAGGGCCTACCACCAATTTAAAACTTCAAATTTTCTAAGCCTGTTTTAATTCTTGGCTATCAACTGATTTTTATATGAGGCTGATTTTGTGTTCCTTAGGAAAGTCATTACCCTTATTTCACATGGCACCCAACTGGTCAACAAGGGAAAGAAACTTGTGTTCTAAACCATTTCTGAAATGATGATGTCCTGGAGGGAATACTAATCACGATTCTGGTTGTATGAAGGGACAGGTCTAGCTGTTCTGTCTCAGTGGGTGGACAGAGCTTTGGCCTGGAGACTTGGTCCCCAGTTGGATTCCCAACTTTGGTTGCAGGTTCCTCCCCCGCGGGGGCCCTGGTCGGGGTGTGCAGGAGGCAACCAATCGATGTAGTTCCTCAACCACCTGTGAGCATCAGAATTCCCTAGGGTACTTATATGTACAGATTTCTGGTCACGACCCCAAATCTGATGAATCAAGAGTCTGGGGAGGGGTCTGAAATCTGCATTTTAAACAGGGTCTACAGATGATTCATTTGTACATTAAAACCTTAAAACAGCTGCACTAAATCTAGTAAATTATATAGGAATGAAGAACTCCTCATAGAAATCAAAGAAAGAACTGTTTTTCTCAAAATCTTCCAGTTAGACCAGCAATGTCCCAAAGAACTTGTTGCAATGGTGGAATGTTCTTTATCTGCACTGCCCAATACTGTACTAATCAGCCAACTGAGCACTTGAAATGTGGCCAGTGAGACTGAGGGACTGAACTTTTAACTTTATTTACTATTAATTAATTTAAATTTAAAAAGCCACATGTAGCTAGTAAGTGCAATATTAGATAGCACAGACTTAAATGTACCAGGACATACTATCTTTAGCTCACTCAGCTTCTCTTTTTGTTTTCTTTCCTGTGAAAGGTTCATTACTCACTGAATCATAGCAGAATAGCTTCTTATAACTCAAAACTTGGCAAGTCCCCATATTTTAGCCAATGGGAGGGCTGATGTGTCTTTAGGAATTTAATTGCTACTGAGATCACATGAAACACAGCACAACTTCAAATCCTACAGAGAATACTTCCGTGAATGGGAATACAGCAACACAATACCAGAACACGGAGGCCTTAATGAAATCAACTCCTGTGTTAGAAAAAATATGCTGGAATAACTAAAAGCCAAAGTAGAAAAACACTAAAAGACCACTCCATACTCTCTCCATGGAGAGCCATCAAATGGAAAGTGCGCTCTGGAAACACTTTCTTCTGATTTCATTTTCTGATCTATAAATTTGCTGATCACGCACATCCTTTCCTGCACAGCCCTTTTCCCATTACAAATCTGTCGCGGGGACTTCCTAACCTGCCATATGGCAGAGTAAACCCATTCAGGGGAACACCGGGGTACTGTGCACCTCACCACACTGATTTCAGCTGGGCAGACTAGCTTCTCTAGAGGAAAACATATCTGATCATAAAATGGAAATCACCCAAAAGTGACACACAAAAAAGAAGCCACCTTAATCAACACACAAAATAGAGAATAAGCAGAACACAGTATCTCAGGTTACTCAGTCCAAGAAAGACAGCATGTTCCACTTTATTTAAGAACAAGGCCTAATACCCACAGGCATAAAGGAGCTCTATTTTACATTTTTCTGACATGTACACCTTTTCCAGTGTGACGGGCACCCAAAACCCGAAGGAGATAAACTTGCAGTGTAACTGGGAAAGAACATGATGTGCTTTTAACTGTTCTCGGTCATTAGGTAGATCAGAAACTTTAAATAAATGTCTTGCACACCTTGGATCTGTCTGTATATAAAGTAAACCTGATAAAATATGAATGTTTGCTCCCTTAATTACCACAGTTTTATTTTAAAAATCGGAATCAACTGGAGCTAAAAACTATGATTATTTAAAAGTATCATACTATGGTTATTATCTCTAAAATAATAAATTAAAAGAAGATAAAATCTTTTCAATTCTTCCTTTCTGTTCTGATGAGAAATTTCTAGATTTATCACGTCATTGAAAAAATTCTGTATGAGATGACTGAACACTATAATCATTCAAAAATCTATAGCTTGAAAATATGATTTGTCCTTTAATTGAACTATTCCAATTATTCTCAAATAGGAAATTTCTTAGCTCATCCTAAATGCATTTCTGCATCACTAGAAATAAAATTTCTGGGGGCGGGAGGGGAGGGGGGAAGGGGAGAATAAGCAAAAGCAAAATAGGAAAAAAAATAAAGAGAATTTATCTACTTTAAGGAAATTTCCATATCTTCTCTCTCATTGCATTAATTTCCTTTCAGTTCTTAACTAAGGACAGTGGAATAATCCTGCCTGGTCTTGGTGAGACCAAGTGGCATAAATTCCAGCTTCAGAGAGAGTAGACACTATGGTAACATGCTGACAGCCTTCATTTACATGAAAGAATACTAATTATGTGGTATCATCAACATCTGCGATTCTGCTCACTGCCATATGCGACAGCACAGGATATTTTAACCCTTCAACTTACTAAATGTGCCCTAAATTACATGTACCACAAAACCTGCAAAGATTACTTGAAGAGATACAGTGAATATATTTTTACAAATAACAAGTGCTAAAAAATGAATTTTATTTTTGGGTAACATTTTATTTCCAAGAGATATGAGAAAATATAACATAACATTAATAAAACAATTAAGAAAAAGGTTTTTTCAAATGACACAGAAATATTAAGATGCAATTAATAACCCTAAAGGGAAGAATGCTACCTTTTAGAATACTCTGTAGGGCTTTAAAAGGCTGTCTTATAAGAAAAATGAAACTAGCCTTTTGAATTTTTATAATATGGCTAAAATTAAAAAAACACAAACTAATAAAAAGTAGGGGCAGAGATGGACAGAGTGAGGATAGGGAAAGAAACTGCTCAGAAGGCCTTTGTGAAGGGGCAGTGTGGGGCTGGGGATGGCAAATGGGGTGCAGTGTCCTCCCAGGCTGCTGAACTTCCCTTCCCTCATTACTGTTCTCCCTGGGTGTGGGTGTGGGTGTGTGGATAAGAGATAATCTATAGGTCAGAGGGCAGCTCACAGACCCCTGGAGAGGCTGAGTTTTCTGACCTGAGAACTGGAATGGCCACTTGAACATCGGCTCTTGGCCACAGGTGATGGTATGCTGATGTGCTGGGTGTGCCAGAGCCTCGAGAGCCGTGATGTCACTCATTTGGTGTCAATAATCAAGTGCTGATGTTCAAGAATGAGTTTGTCTAAGCAACATATTTAAGGTTATGCCCATATGATAATGTCTCTTACTTGCATTAGTGCACTTTCTTCAATAAAAAAGGAGTAGAGTTCATCTAGGGGGCAGGGCTGCACACAACACCCTGGGTTCCTAGGGAAGGGGGGTATGCCTGCTGCAGAGCAGGGAAATGACAAACAGAACAACCAGCAATGCTTTTGCTTTGTACCCAATACCAACTTCTCTAACAAATGCTTTGCTCTGTATGGAATACCAGCTTCGCTGACCATGTAAGAGCCAGAGCTGGGCCACTCTATACGTTTGGTCTCTGTTCTTTTGTTTGCCTCCTTCCCCTCCAGGTATGGATACACTCAAGCCTCTCCTGTCAGGAGACAGACAGACCCCAGTTTGCCCTGCCTCTAGACCAGTGGTTCTCAACCTTCCTAATGCCGCGACCCTTTAATACAGTTCCTCATGTTGTGGTGACCCCCAATTTCATTGTTACAAACTGAACATAATTAAAGCATAGTGATTAATCACAAAAACAATATGTAACTATATATGTGTTTTCTGGTGGTCTTAGGCGACCCCTGTGAAAGGGTTGTTCGACCCCCAAAGGGGTCGCGACCCACAGGTTGAGAACCGCTGCTCTAGACTGTCCTTGATACTCTAGCTCTCCGTCTGCCTATTTATTTCTGACAAGTAGAATGTGCAGCTTCATGTTCCTCACAACTCACTCCTTAACACCTTCAATTCATGGAAACTATTTTCTCAAGAGGTCATTAGCAATTTCCTTACAGCTAAGTTCATTATTAGCCTCTTCTCAGTCCCCATCCGCATCTATTTGGCACTAGACACTGCACACATTCACTCCTGCATTTCAGGCTACTGTTCTCTTCTGGTTTTCTTCCTATGTCTGTAATCACACCTTCTGTTTCCATATGTGCCTTTCTTCCTTGAAATTTAGGCTTTCCTTAAGTTTCTGTCCTCGGCTCTCTTCTCAGTGATTTCATCTATTTCTAGAACGTCAAGTATCGTTTTTATTAGATAACTAGAGGCCCAGTGCATGAAATTCATGCACCGGGGAGGAGGGGGGGGGGGTGTCCCTCAGCCCAGCCTGCACCCTCTCCAATCCGGGACCCCTCGGGGGATGTCCGATTGCCGGTTTAGGCCCAATCAGGCAGTTGAACATCCCTCTCACAATCCGGGACCGCTGCCTCCTAACTGCTCGCCTGCCTGATTGCCCCTAACTGCTTCTGCCTGCCAGCCTGATTGCCCCCTAACCACTCCCCTGCCTGCCCGATCACCCCCAACTGCCCTCCCCTGACAGCCTGATTGCCCCCAACTGCCCTCCCCTGACAGCCCGATCACCCACAACTGTCCTCCCCTGTCAGCCCGATCACCCATAATTGCCCTCCCCTGCCATGACCTGCCTCCTCCGCCAGGATCCACCTCCGCCCTCCCCTGCCAGCCTGATCGCTCCCAAATGCCCTCCCCTGCCAGCCCGATCACCCACAACTGCCCTCCCCTCTCAGCCCGATTGCCCATAATTGCC